TGATAGTTTAGTCCTAATGTGAAGAGTTTTAATTTCGAGGTTCTACAGCCTGAACGCACGGACTTTTGTCCCCATGTTCGTAAGCTATCCAATCGTAGAATGAGCACAAAAATGTCGAATAGGGGTATCTCGATTAAGCGCTCACCCTGAGAAAAGTGTACAATTCTAGAAGCTGTTGGTACACTCAGACCGTTACTCTATCATTAGCTTGATCCGCACGAATTTATACAAGCCGAAAGGGTGGACTTCGATGTCTCGGACTCTCGGCTCTCGGCGCCCTTCTCCAATCGCTGTGCGGCAGATGAAAGATGAGGTGACAACCTCCCACCTTTTCTGGGGAGAACGACGCTTTCCTTGCAGCTTCAAAATTGCATTGTAGAGTTTGAGTGAGTATATTGTTTCTGACATACAGTGATCACCACAATCGAGTTCAAATCTCAACCCTGGGACCAACTCGCACAGGATGCTCCGCAAAAGTATATGGAGCCAACATGTGACAGATCATTACTTTCGATCCCGAATATGCATTCATATCTGCCACGACAGCCATCCCATTTTCCCTACCGAGTTTACAGCTTCGTGGAGGCAGGTATTCACCTTCTCCACAGCTTGCATGTCGCTGCTGCCAGAGCAATGCAGGCTCTTTGATTCACGCAGAAACTTCAGTCCAGTGATTCCTATCACTTGTGAATGTTCTGTGCAAATGTGCGATTCAGTAGGGTATGAATATTTTTCCGTTCTCGATGCTTCATGTCACTTCCACGAACTGTCTTCATACATTTTTTGCTTCGCGTCATCGCACCCACGACATGGCAAGTACTCGTGGCTTACAGCTGCTGCCCATAGTCATTTCAGGTCCCTGAACACCCGAAAACAACTACGGAGATGAGTTGGTTTCATCATTGGAAGAACTGGTGCGGATGCATATCGAGAACAATCAAGGAGTGTACTCTATGTGGGAGTGTCACAGCCTTTGCAAAGGCAGGTTGCGGAGCTTGCCAGGCATTTCAGATTCGAGGACGCCCAGTTTACCGAGACTTTGAGTGTGGTCGTCGTCACGGTCAAGAGGGCTAGATACGGCCTCTGAAAGTATAACAACAGAGGACTCGGTAGATAAGGTCCGAAGAGAAGTCTGGGAAGTGAAGATTCGGCAATAGTGAAAAACTTGACAGTAAAGAAGTGGGATTGGAGATAAATCTGAAAAAAGGCGCAGATTCTGACATGCACTTCGAGTGCGCTATTGTAGTCAATCCAGTTTGAATACAGTGAGTGGGCTAAGTGAAACAGATACTCTTGGTTCCTCCATCGAACTCACAAGAGGTTTGATTCGTCCTATACATTGGCTTTTGATGGCAGAGGAGAGATGGGACTATTTATAGGTGATAGAGCAGGTAAAACTAATTGTGAGTCATGGAGCGGCAGGCTTTGAAGTAGTAAACTTGGAAGGAAGTAAATAAGTGAATAACAATGAGCAAAGCACAGAAAAGCAAAGAATAGGATAGAGAATCAAGCTCTCGAAATATATAAACCCCATCCTCACTCCCCTCCCCAACAAGGATGGATACGGATTCCTACGGGAGTCGCGCGAAGATGGAAGATGGGATCTTCGTGCTACACCAGGTCTGCTGTAAAGGTGGTACAAGTTTGGAAGGTCTCTGGCGTTCTGCGACAGCAATGAGTGTATTGCACATCTCTCATAAAGATCTCGAGAGAATTCGGCCTCGATCTTCGAGTTCTGAACTTTCGGACTTTGACAGCACCCACATAAATGACAACAAAATACGAAGAATGATTAAATCTTACTTGAGCAGTGTCTCATAGCTCCCTCCTTACTTGGCTCCCTCACGCATCTGACCCGGATATCAAGACTGACAAAATGGATACAGCAGAGACGTCTCATACCCATTTACGATTATAAAGTTCTCCACCTCAGGGAAAGGTAGTGTTTGTCCTTCTTATACTCGATCCAAAGGCAGGAAGAACGTTGGCCTTAGTTTCTGGAACGAACAATTCCATCTCGAACTTGCAATCTTGAGGAATTCACTCTGCTCAAACAACATTCACTCCTCTCCAAAGAAAATTTTAAAAAATCAATTACCCCTCCATCCGACACCACCAACGATCCAGACTTCCAGACTCCTAGACCCAAACCCAAGCCCGAGGGGAAAAAAAAACTTCAGTACCTGAAGCTACCCGTCCGTTCCAAACCTGCCTTCCACCCGGCGCTACTCACCCAACACCCGAATCCAGATCTGAACCTAATCTCGCATCAACTTCTAGTTCCCGTTTCATGTCTTTCTAGTGAATCTCCCCATCCAGATGATGTTCACAACTCGTCACACAACTCCCAAAACAGAGCAGAGGGGCAAAAACAGAAATAGGGGAAACGAAGCAGAAGCCACGTTAGCGAACACGTCCACCCCTCCCCCCCAAAAAAATTCCGGAAGCGAGACGTTTGACGGCCGTTTGGGCCTGAACCAGGTTGAACCTCGCCCTGGTCCCTTATCACCACCGGTATTTTCCCAATATTGGTTTCCTCTTTCCTTTCTTTCCCTTTCCTTCATCTCCTTTATTCTTTCCCCTCGAAAAAGAATCGATATTGCACCCTCAAGGCAAAAACCGAGGACTTCGTCTCCGCGACCAACCGACCCAACGCCTCGGTACAATTCAAAAACGAAAAGAAGGGAAGAAAAAAAAAAAATCAATGATCGGCGAACTCTTCTTCAATTGCAACGCTGCCAGGGAGCGGTGGAGAAGAAAGAAAAAAGGTCAAAGCGGCGGCGAGGAAGCCTGCATGGAAGGGTTGCCCCTGTCTGTCTGTCCTACTGTCCTATCTCGGTCATATTATGAAATGTGAAATAATTTATGTGTTTGGGATAGAGTGAAAGATTGCGCCATGATTTTGGTCTGATAATGAAAGGGGCGATACAGTACGTTTCGTTTGAAGAGAGGATGGGACGGGATGGGATGCACGGCTGGGGATGGGATGATGAGGTGGATATTTGTTGGGTTGGGGATATATTATATTATATGTTTATTCCTTTAGTGGAAGGAGGGCTGATTGCAGGAGGAGGTTTCGGTTCATCGCTTTCGTTTAGGGCGCTAGACTGCGGTACAGTATTGTAATGTTTTGAAATTGTTTGGCTTCGAAGCCAACAATTTCTCTCAAACCGCTCAAACATCCCAAAGCAAACCAACCCGAGATTCGCTCATATCAATTAACTTTCCAACGTCTCCTTTCCTTATCAAAAATCGATATCACGTGGGCAAGGGTACGAGAGAGGAAGCTCCCGTTGCGCGGGACCAGGGAGTCCTGCATCCGCTGCGGGCGTTGCGAGCGGAGTGGGGCGTGCGTATCGGCATATTATTTTCCCTGGCTTGGGTTTCTTTGCAGCAGCAGCGGAGACGAGTTCCACTGCTTTTCCTTTCCCAGAGGAGAGGATGCGCGGTCGCTCAACATACACATGTGAAGATCGAAAATTCGGCATCTACTACATATGACTGAATGAAGAGCCCGAGAAAGGAAGATGGACAGTCCATCGAAAAGCAATTGACGATTTGTGGACCGACCGAAGCAACGATTGACTGGCGGGCTCCATTCAGCCGGAGAGAGAGGCAAGCTTCCATTGATCCGGGACTTGTGCCCTTTCAGCTTATGTCTCCGATACGTATTTGTTTCTGCTGCTGGAAATTTTCTGTGTGGTTTGGCTTGGTTTGGTAAGGATTAGAAATCATTTCGGTGGGCTGGGCTCGCTGGCTGGCTGGCGTTAAGCCGCGTCGCGTGGTAATGCTGGGGGAGCTTCCTTGAGGTCAACGTGGGGTGTGGAGCGGAATCAGGTGAGAGGTACGTAGTCGTATGTTTCTAAGACATAGTGCGCGATGGAGATCTCAACGGTGTTTCTTTCTTTCTTTTTCTTTGGTTTGGTGCTTAGCCCAGAGTCTGGGCATGACAACAGCCCGAGGATCCCGAAATGGTGCAGCACCATTCAAGCGCAGCCGAGAAAAGTCAATATATTTTAGCATTTGGGATTTTGGGGAGCAGGTAAGTCTAAGCAGTCAGCAAATCTTGGGTCCTCGGGAGCGGGCTGAACAAACGGCCATTGGACACACGGGTAAAGTGTGTTGGATCTCGAGGCTCATTTGGGCTTGGCCTTGGGAACACTCCACAGCTCTGTATCGGTTTACCGCAGCCTTGCAGAGGGACGCTGACAGGCATTTAGAGTGCTTGCGTCTATGTTGCTTTAGGCTTTGGGGGGATCCGGGAGCCTGAGCGAAGGCCTATGGAAGAAGCGCTGCTAAGCGCTGGGGAAGTTCTGGCGGGACGTTGGAAGCAATGTTCAGGGTCTTCGTTTGCAGGAGTGGTCCAGAATAGTCTCGTAAGTGTTCGAGGCGTCCATTTCTGGGTTGCGCATTTTCTGCAATAGGGACGAGTATTTTGGTTTCAATGCAATGAATGCAAGAAAGTTGATTTAGTGCGTCGTCACCGAAACCGAGATGCAGGTGCAGTAGGAGATTCCCCAGAATCAGTTCTCACTCGGTGGAGAGAGTACCCCTCCGCCAAGTCATAAGCATCCCCGCAATCATCCAAAGTCTGGTGAGAATTGTGATTCACACTCGAATGGCAGCTGCAGATACACTTAGGCAAGCACGACACCAAATTTGGGTTTGACAGGCCGTAAATCTGCCCAGACGGGACGCGAGCTCTGAAGAGAGCCGGTTGCCACGTTTCTGGCAGACTTTTGAAAGCATGGTGATCTGCTTGTTTCTGGTAGAAGATCGGGCGATTTCATGAGGACATGTCTTCCCTCTCCAAGTCTTGTGAGACTCGTCCGAAGCAAAACTCCGAGCACGAGCACGGGAATGTCTAGGGTACGTGGAACAGATCAGAGGGAAAGGCGTGTTTCTGGAAGAACCAAAATTACATAACCTTTCTCTCTCGGTTTCGGTCGGGAAAGCCTGTGTCTCCGCTGTGTGTTGTGTACTGTACATCTGCGCTGCAGTAACTGCAGATAAGCTTGCATCTGCAGCCAATTCTCATGCGGCCACTTACGGCCTCTCGTTCGTGTGAACCACGAGGAAGGCTGTCAGGTACTCAATGTCGAACCGCAGCCATCTCGGCCGATGACATTGTGTTTGTACTTCACCTCGATCTATTGTCGCATGTCGCAGTCTCAGAATACTTTACATGACATGCCAACATTGGGCCATGATTGGATGAAACTTGGCATGGTCCGGGGAAGGAGCCAAGAAGGATGATTTGTGTTTGACCCGGGGTAACTCTGCTGGGATCGTACTTACCATTGCACCACTCATGGATGATGGGTTTCTTGGTGTCCCTCAGCAGATCGGAATGGATGCATGGAAGCCAGGAATAGAGAAGGATGGATTGGAAAGGTCCGTGACAGTCTGACAGACACAGACACACTGACAGAGTTTCCGGCCACCCAGGAGTGTATTTCAGGCTGGTTCCAGAGCGCTTCCACAGCGTCTATCAGTGGATTCGACTCACTAAATTGGACGACTTCGGCGAGGTTTGGCTGCTGTAAATATCTTTCCGGGTGTCGCGATGCAAGCAACAGGGCTTTAGTCAGGGCGTCAGTCAGCAATCCTAGACACACTCGGCGCCGGGAACTTGGCTTCCAGAAGCCAAAAGCCCAAGTCCAAACGAAAACGATTTCAAGAGGCTGTCAAGAGACCAGAGAAGGAGAGTTGAGAGTCTCATGACATGCACAAACTGCACTGCACTGCACTGCCATTCCGACTTCCACTGACGGTCGAGAGTCAAGATCATCGTCGAGGTTCGTGTCGTGAGGGGATTCAGCTGCTCCCCTTCAGCGGTCCAGCGTCGGCCGTCGTCCTGTAGAAAATGGCCAATTGTCATCCCGAGACACTGGATGAGCCACTGATGAAATAATATCGACAACAGACGCGAAGATTTGCTGGTGAACGATGATTGATGGCCCCGAACGGGTTAATTTTTTGTTACTTACATTCAGGCTGAAAGGGAAATACGATTGCCCGAACCGAGACAAGACAAGTCACAGCGAACAGAGAGAGCAGAGAGAACAGACTTGAAGAATGATCTTAACTTGGAGCAGCTTAGCGAGCTGACTAGTCGTCTGTTGCTGCACCTTTCGTCACCCCTCCTCTCCCCGTCCGACAGTAGCTCCGCTCTTTTTCCAACGACACTCTGGATTCTCGAAGCAGCATTGATGATGAAAGTTTGCAACTGACCAGGGGGCCAATTGACATCTCCGTCTGCGTCGGACATCTGTCCTGGATGGGTGCTGCTTGCTTCGCCAGCACCCCATTCACGTCCACACACGCACCCCCCTGAACCACTCAGGAACGATGCCTTCCATGCGAGTCCCGTCTCTCGATCTCAAAGGCTTCGATTGCGCTCTCGTCGGGCATTCGTCCTGCACGGATGTTGATGTCAGTGCGACCCGGCAGCTGTACCGGAGCGTGGGAACTGCTTGAGCGGTGGTTCACCGTCGGCTGTTGCGTTCCCTCACTCAGACATACCGCGTGTTGAGTATCCGAGGATGAAAGACAGCCGTGTTCACAGGTACAGGTGCGTAAAGGAGAAAGCGCGCTGTAGCAGCCGCCGTTCCGCAGGACAGATGGAGAGACCGAAGGGAGAGACCACCGAAATGAACAGTCGCAAGCTCGCTTTACCCCATCGATGCTTGAATATGGTAAGCAGGCCAGTCCAGTCCAGTCTGTGGAAGCTCTGACCAGGGCCCTGGTCCGAGGTTGTATGGCTAACGGTGATGGAACGCTTTGGATTGGCGTCTATTAGCATGGAATCACGATCCATGCTGGGCTCATCAACCTCGTTCTTCGTCTCATGGGGTCGGTAAAGTGGTTCATGGTGGGCGTTGGTCAACGACTAGCCGTACAGAGCAACTCGTCTAAACTGGTCCGGGACATGATTTGCTCGACATTTCACCATGTTCGTTCACACTTCGTTTCTCCCTGGTCCATAATGTGTGGAGCAGAGTGGATGATAGTGGATGCAATATTTCCCCATTGGAAAATCATCCTGACGCTAGTCCCACTACGACTCCACGTCTCTGCTGGTATCCACACGGTAAGTGAGAGCTCACCCCAGAACGCATTAACCAAGCTACCCCATCCCCATCATCCGGATGGGATGCCCTGGCAGAATATCCTATATATGCCCATCTCCCCCTTCCATTATGGCCCTCTCCTCTTCTAACCTGTGTCCATCTTAACTAAAACATCCTCCTCTCTCGTCGGCAGCATTGGGTAGAAGAGATATATAGCGGGCCTATTCCACCACCTCGCTCTTTGCATTGATATAAGAAGGAAGACCAGAGTTCACTCTCACCACCACCATCACAATGGCAACCACCGGGACCGCAGACCCAGCGCTCAACAAGGAGTATAACAACGACAGCGCAACTCACGACCACGCTCCCACCAACGGAGCCATCCCCACTCAACGAGCTCCATACGACTATGGAGGAAATCCCCTCGCACACCTGAATACTGGAGAATCAGCTCGATTCCCGGCCTTCGGTGGTGAATTCCAGCCAGGGCTTTACAAGCCTACCACTGGACGCAAATTCGCCAACCCAGCCCCTCTCGGTCTGAGTGCTTTCGCCCTCACTACTTTCGTCCTTTCACTCATTAACGTCGGTACCCGGGATGTCGCTGAGCCCAACATTGTCGTTGCGCTTGCTTTCGGATATGGTGGTCTTGTTCAATTGCTCGCTGGCATGTGGTATGTGATTTTCCACGCCTAATTGAAGAATTGACTCTAACAACGGAAATAGGGAAATGGCTGTAGGAAACACCTTTGGTGCCACAGCGCTATCCTCATATGGTGGCTTCTGGTTATCATTTGCAATTGTTCTCACTCCCGGGGGTTTCAACATTCAAGACGCCTATTCTGCCACTGGATCCGGTAAATACGACTTCGCCAACGCCTTCGGATTCTTCCTCTCGGGATGGTTCATCTTCACGACTATTCTCCTGCTTTGTACGCTTAGATCAACAGTCGCTTTCTTCTTACTGTTCTTCTTCCTCGACTTGGCGTTCCTGTTCTTGTTCCTCGGATACTTGTACGCCAGCGACTCTGGCCTCAACGCCAACTTGATCAAGACCGGAGGTTATTTCGGACTCTTTGCTGCGTTTATGGCTTGGTACAATGCATTGGCTGGTATTGCGGATGATAGGTACGTTTCATTTTATTTTAAGTGTGGTCTTCAATTTGAAGATACTATGGACGGAAATTTACCCGTCTTCAGCCTATTCAAATCTCACTTTCCCATATCTCTCTCAACTCCTCCCTCTCAACAGTAGATGGACAATAGCTAACATGTCTCTTCAACAGCAACTCCTTCTTCGTCATCCCCGTCGCACACTTCCCCTGGTCCGAGAAGGGACGCGAGCGTCGCGGCCTCAAGACCGAGCGCGAGACTGTCTAAATGCCTCCTCCCTTTCTCCCTCTTCGATACTCAGTACATATATGCGGAAGGGATCTCTCGCGTTGGCAGAAGGAAAGGAAAGTGCGTCTTGCTATATACCATGTTTATGTTAGGTTGATCGGTTGGGGTGCAGGAAGGTGGGAAGGATTGGATACAAACAGTTCTTAATGGAGGACCCAAAAACAAAATTTATCCTTTTTTTGATGACTACTGGAATATATCGGTTCTTAATACACAATTGTTAATATTCCTTCCCCTTTCCCTTTCCATTCTGAGGTGCAGCCAAGTGGTGACGCGATGTTCAATCAAGCCTCGTCGTGGTCGTCGCGCCTCGTCCTCGCATCGCATCGCAGCTTTCTCCGCATGTTCGTGCCCCGCGAAATAAGCACTTTGTTCTTATTTTATTTTCATCTCTTTTTATTTTTGCTTTTTCCATGTTCCCCTCCTCATCTCCAACCCAGCCAACCGCCCCCAGATCTTCATCCAACCATCCCATCCAACACCCCAACCGCCCCCAGATTCCCTCTCTAATCGCCCACCAACCTGATCAACACCTCCCTACTTACCTACCTACCGAACGAACGAAAAAATTCCAAATCCCCCAAACACCATCACCACCTGACCATCTGACCATCTGACCAAGCTACCGTCACCTATGGGAGATGCATTCTTCTCCTTGGGACAGGACAATGGTGCACAGTCGTCGAAGCCGATGACGACACCATCGCAGCGGTGTTGGAGCGATTGACGGTAGATCGTTAGTATCCGCTAGCTAATTAGTTAGCTAGTTGGGTGGCTGGATGGCTGGTTAGCTGGATTGCGGAGTGCCGTCGAGGAGAATTTGGGTTTCGGAGATAGTGAGGGAGGGCGGGAGTGGGAAGTGGGTGATGCGGGGTTGTGTCAGCGGCTCTTTCTTGGGGTTTGGGTGGGGAAGGAGAGTGGTTGTGAGTACTGGAGGAATTCGGAGTGTCGGTGGTAGATCGATCTGCTGTATGTGTCAAGGTTTGGTCCATATTCCTTTTGCATGTTGCTTGATTACTATTCTTGCTGTCAAGCATGTTGTTGTTGTCATTGCTCAAGTCTTCACTGTTGAAACAACCTCGTATGGATTCATTTAATCATTTCTTGATGAAACAGACTACAAGTCAATTCAACATATGTTCTCCATCTCTTCAAACTCTCCTCCATTTCCTCCATTGAATGATTATAGCGATCAATTCACTCCATTAGATTTGTGTTTCATCCCACAAATTCTGTTCTGCCGTAAGTACTGTATCTCAAACAACGTCGAAACCAACTTTCAGAACCCGTTCTCACTTGAGCTGATTCAGTGACTGAATAACTATCATTGTTTCCGCACCTTTTGTTCCACAATGTCGAACCCAGAGGACTTCTTTGCTGTCGAATCTAGCATTCCATATGGTAAGAACGTCCCTACCCAAACTAGAAACGCTGAAGCCCCTCTCCAAATATTCGCCGGCGGTTTCCTTTTCAACAAATCCTGAACCACTTGCTTCGCCCACTCCTGCGCCGGTATACCCAAATCCACAAGCCCATCGCCACGCATTGAACTTTCCACCGTTTCTTTCGCAGGCTCGTAGATTGAACCTTTTGGCAAACCTTGAAACCCCTCGTTATGAAAGTTAAGATTGGATTTCACATATCCACTCTTTAAATCGACGACTCTGACACCGAAAGGTTCCAATTCCAGCCGTTGGGTGTCAGAGAACATTGACATTGCAGCTTTCGAAGCGTGATATACGGACTGGAAAGGTACCGCAATAACAGACGCCGCTGAAGTGTGATTGACGATAATCCCCTCGGATTCGAGAAGTAACGGGAAAAAAGCTTGCGTGACAGCAATATAAGCCCATACATTTAGATCAAATAGCTTTTTGGCTTCGGGGATAGACAGATCGGATACAGGAGTGCCGTAGGTTCCACCAGCATTGTTGACCAGGATGTCCAGATGTGACACTTTGCTAACACAAGCAGCGATGGAAGAGTCTAATAGAACGTCTAGTGTCAAAGTCTCGATACCGAGAGAAGCGAGCTGCTCCATCTTAGACGGATTTCGAGCTGTAGCATAAACATGCAAGCCAGCTTCGTGGAAAGCGATTGCCAGGGCTGCGCCTAGGCCGCCGTCTGAGCAACCAGTAATGAGGACTGTTCGTTTGGCGTCTGACATTTTTTTTTTGATGAATCGACAATTGAGAGAGTCTCAAGAAAGTGTACTGACAAAGTAAGTAAGTAACAATGAGATGAATCTCACTCTCGGCTGCTTACTTATATCTCTCTCTTTTCAGCTCGCTTATTTTGTATTGCGGATATGGAAGTAAGACTGGTACTACTTTCCTGTTCGAGCTACGGTCAGGGGTATGAAGCGGCCGACACTTCGCGCATACAATTATCTTGCTGATATTTTACTTAAACATTGAAAATGCTGGATTGATTTCGTTTGACAATGGGAAAGCTATGGTGGGAAGAACGTGGATACAGTGACACAAGCCTTAATCGAGTGTCAATTCTGCTCCAGTATTTATCTCGCAAGAAGTAGCAGCAGAACCAGACCTAAATCTCTTTTGCGACTTTTAGAGGCATTTACAGCCTCTTGATTCTTACGAAGCTTTCTTTCCAATCTTTGCTGGAAAGACCTTGTTCTCCATTGAGGTCCTCGCTACTGATTTCGGTTGGAGGGGTCAATCCTTGGTTTGTTGCTCTAGAAGTTCGCTGTAATTTGGGAGGATAGGTGAATAACGTGCAAGAGAGTCGGGGGTCGGAGGTCGGGGAACGGAGTATAAATCACTTCACTCTTTGTGAGTCAAGTGAATGAAAGCAAGCACCTCCCTTTTACTGCGCTAGCGATTACTCACAAGAAGTCTACAAATACACGGAACGGACTCACAAAAGTCCGTCAAACAAGGCGAGCCAAGCAGGCACTTTAATGGCGGGAATTCTGTGTCAGTGTCAGGACAACCTTTCATCACCAGGTTGCTTTCGGCCAGGCTCAATTCATTGCCTTTAGTTGTCATGCTGATAGCAGGCTTTCCATTAGTCGTTGTCGAAGAAAAAAAGTCCATTATCATTTGTGAGCTACTAGAGGCAGGATCCAAAGAAGTGGTTAATACATAACCGGCTTTAAAGTTAGCCTTTGAAAACCAACAATTTGGCAAGCACTTGGCGAATTTTGAAGCCAGTCTTCGAGGACAAATAGTAAAGTCTTTGTTATATGCTGTTATTTCTAGTCTTGCCATGTTGTGCAACGATGTCATACGTGACTCACTCTCAGCAACATTAGGTGAATCTTTACTGATATGAATACTGATAGGTGATGACATCATATCTGGGTCAAAGAGACAGCTGCTGGGTATATATAGAAACACTTGCTTTGACCTTTCTCCCTTCATATTTTCCTGTAGAACTGGCTATGTCCCATGTTGAGAAGTGTCTTGTGTTACCCGTAAATGCGTTAGATATCCTGGGATTGAAAGGTATGAAAGGGAAGCAGCAGCTGTCAGGTTCCCGTCTCACAATTGCTTCTGGTGGTATTGTCTTTTGAATGTGATTGGCAATTGGCAACGAAATCAATCTCCGCTGTTGAGTCCTCTGTTATCGTTTGCAATCACGGTTGCGAACGTCCTTTCAGAACTTGGAAATCTAGTACATTGTTAGCAGTGAATTAGTCTACAAAGTTATGGAGCATGGCAGCCTTGTTTTCGCAGTTTAGCTGTCGTGAAAGGAGATCCTGCTAGTCTTCGAGTGCCTTGGCCACTTCAGCGATGTTGTGAACTTACGATCCTTGCTGTTTTGGTGATATGCGAGTTGGCTGCACTTCTCTCTGAAAGCACTTTGAACAGGTTTGACGAGTCTGCCACCACTGTCTTCTTGCCAACACCCTCAATAACATTTTAACTAGAAATGCTGGTGATGGAGACATTATAAAACATACGGTTGTGAATCAGACAGGCTAATTAGAGAATACGTTCAAGGTCCTAATTGCAGTTTTTCACTCTAGCATGTCAGGTAGTATATGCGAGGGCGGTAATGATTGCTTATTTTATCAAGTGTAGACTTGTTTGAGGAATTGTGGAAGGCAAAAATGGCTGCGATTGTCACAGACAATGAGCATCATTTCAGAAAGAGCATCGTAAGTTCTTGACTTGAATACCATGAAGAGAGGCTGGCTTGCAGATCTGAGTTCGGCATGTTAGGGAACTGAAAAATCTGGAACCAACTCAGCTTTCTTCAATATCCCACAGCTTTTCAGAACATAACCCAGCTCCCGAGTCCGGAAGACTTTGAATCAATTCTGATTAGGTTCTGTTGTTCATCTACGTAGTACTGCTTGATCAATCCGAGCCTCTTTCATTGAATCTCACTTATGAATTAATCTACACTCTCACGAAATATATGCATTTACAAGAAAATTACGAGACAGATGCGCCACAAATTAGCTCCATTGGCTCCAGTATCAACTGCGAGTTCTTGAGTAGTAACCGGCCGACTGATTAGAAGTTAATGTCCTTCCCATACAACAGTAACCACTCCCCATTCTTCATCTCCATGACTAATCGTACTTGAAAACGCTTCGGCTACTGCTCTATTGCAAGAGTCTTTAATGCATGTGCTCAAACGGATGGTACTTCTCGTTCAAAATCATCATGATCCGTTGTTTCTTGTTTAAAACAATCCACTCTTTTGTACCAGCCTTGCTTGCTTCCGGTAAGAGTCCTCACACTTCATCCATTTCTTTGTGACTGAAAGGCAACAGAAAGAGTTCCGTGAACACCGACTCGATCCTATCCCAGTAAGTATCACAGGATGTCTGTATGTTTCCAAAGACTAGCTCGATAACACATCTTTGGTGGCTTTCTATCCAGGGGCTGTTTCCATTGAGTAGAATTTTGCCTTTAATAAAGACCAGCACGCTATAGATAGCAAACCTCCACAAAGTTCGCCAAGTGGATCATCGCCAACCGTTTCAGCATGTAGGCTTAATACCTCGGCACCGAAAGAAGCTTCGAGTAGAGACATCATAAAGGCCGGTGACTTCATAGTGCCCGTAGACGATGCCCATGGCCAAGTCGGAGCATTAAATTTTCGAGTCTTACGAAGTTTGAAAGACACTTGCCACACAAAGATCATGCCTCTGCTGTTCAAGCTTCCCAATGATACCAGACATGGCAATAAGAACATCTCCTCCTTGAGTCAATTCGCATGATGTATATCTGCCAAGAATTTTATCCCATTGATCCGATAAAACACCTTTATTGACATAAGAGCCTGATTGGGTAGTACTGGCTGGGACTCCACTGGGAAAGCTTTCACAGCAAAGCTGAGTATCACATTTCCAGAACAGCTGCTGCGTGGTGAAGTAGATAGTTCGAGGCGAAAGGAGACGTTCTTGGAGCATCCAACCACGATTTGCTAACACGCTGTCGGAGATCGCATCCCAGACCATTGTATGTGGAATAACCTCTATGATTTGAATGTGGTCTTGAGCCTTTTCCCACGTTTCGGCTTTAGCTTTGACTTGTCTATATAGCGCCCTAGAGGCAGCTACACAGCTTAATGGAAAGTAAAAGAAAAAGGAAAAGAAAATTTTTTTTTTTAAGAAAAAGCTTTTAACAGTTCTCAACTACTGGTTCAGTTGAGTTTTGCTCTAGCCCATTTTGATAAAGGAAAATCGATCAATAATACCATTTGAAGATAGCTATTGCGTACCAACATCTGCCGAGAACCCAAACAGTAACACACGACCTAAAGAGCAGCCAATTGCCACCTTCTGCTTCGCAATTGCTGATGTCGTGGATGCTGTGGGACGATATTCTGGTGGCAGCCACAGGACATTCTCACCATCCCATGTAACCCAGGACCTATCATTGCTAAAGCCACAGCCCACCGACTCGGAATTGAAACTTTCGGGACCCTCAGTATTCTCAGATTCAGATATGTTGTCAAGATTGACAGCGCCTCTTTCAGTGACGAGTTTTGAATCGCTAATACACGATAAGCAGGGTGTTGACACGGCTGGGCAAGCCTGCTGCAGTGCGCCTGTGTTCGTGTCCCAGTGCTTTACCGTCCCGTCAGCAGACAATGATGTTAGACGCTGGTCATCAGGCGAGAAGACGACGGATTTAAGCGAGTTTCTATGACCTTTAAGTGTCCGCATTAGTATGCCTGAGTTCGTCCAGAGCCTCACTGTCCCATCTGCAGACGATGATACTAGCCATTGGCCATCAGGCGAGAAGGCTACTGACCTGACCCAGCCTGTATGGCCTGTAAGGGTCTGTAACAATGCACCTGAGAACGTATCCCAAAACCGCACTGTCTTATCAGCAGACCCTGACGCTAGTCGTTTGCCATCAGGCGAGAAAACGACTGAAAAAACCCAGTCCTTATGGCCATCGAAGGCCTGTAGCAATATACCAGAGTTCGTATCCCAAAGCCGTAATAAACCGTCCGAAGAGGATGATACCAGCTGTTGGCCATCGGGTGAAAAAGCAACTGACCAAACCCAGTCTCTATGGCCTTCGAGAGTGTGCTTTAGTACGCCTGTATTTGCATCCCAGAGCCGCAATACACCATCGAAAGATGATGACGCTAGCCATTGGCTATCGGGAGAGAAGGCAACTGACCAAACCCAGTCCTTATGGCCTTTAAGAGTCTGCTTTAGTGCGCCTGAGTTTGAATCCCAAAGTCGCACTGTACGATCGTATGACCATGATGCTAGCTGACAGCCATCGGGGGAGAATACTACTGATGTGACCGAGTCTTTATGGCCTCCAAGGGTCTGTAGTAATACGCCTGAATTTGCATCCCAAAGTCGTATATTGCCATCGGAGGACAACGACACTAGTTGCTGACTATTAGGTGAGAAGGTTACTGTCCTAACCGAGTCCTCATGACCTTTAAGGGTTTGCTGTAACGTCCCTAGATTGATATCCCAGAGTCGTACTGTGTGATCATAAGATGATGATGCTAGCCGTTGGCTATTAGGTGAGAATGCCACGGACCAGACCCAAGCCGTGTGACCTTTAAAAGTTTGTAGTAGTGCTCTTGTTTTTGTATCCCAAAGCTTTATTGTCCCATCGGCAGACCCCTATGGCTAGTCGCTGGCTATTAGGCGAGAAAGCCGCTAATCTAATCCAAACCCTATGGCCTTCAAGGGTCTGCAGGAGCTCGTTCCATTGGCTCTCCATAATTGGCTTAATTGTTATCCATTCGGGCTCATCTCTCCAGAATAGCTGTCGTATCAAGCTTTGAGTTGGGCTGAATATCAGGGCTGACGAGGAAATCTGGAGAGGGTAATTTTCAATGGCTGATCGGAAGTGAAGAATAAAACGACTCATATCGTGAACGAGCGCGAGGTGTTGTGAACTTATCCCGGGCTGTGTCTAAGCTAATTAGATAATATCGAGACAATAAAGGGATTTGATCAACTTACGGAAAACTGCTCCAGTTTGGCAATAGCCACCACCAAACTCGATATATTTCGGCTGAGGCTGAGAGCCTCGACCCAGTAAAGGAACTTCTCACTTAGGAATGTATGCACTGCGTTAATGTCTCGTTCTGTAAGTGTCGAGAACCGGCTATCAGTTTCTAGGCTTCTTGCGGCACATAGATGGTCAACCCAATAAAAGCACGAGTAGCTGACACCAGCCAAGGGGTCAGGGTGGGGCTGCTTGACTTTGTAGATAGGAAGTCCGGGGGCGCGTATGCTGTAAATGTCGCGTCGCAGTGTTCTAGACATGACTAAGAGCGATCTTGAGAAAAGGGTGTGGTGCATATTATGTTCTCTAGAAGGAAATATAGCATCAGATGTTTGCGAGAGCAAAAACTCCTTCGCTGACTGATGCACAAAGTAAACGGCATTTTCTCGGAGAGTTAATAAGGAACCGCAAAACCCAATGATCTGACCCCACGCAGCAAGATCGCCGGGAACGCCTTCAGGTAGATCGATGAAAGACTTAAGCTCATCCAGGAAAAGTGGACGGTAGGCGGTCGCTACAACACTAAGCACGCGCTTGCACAAATCAGCATTCTCTGAGGTATAAATATTCTGTACCATTCGCTTGTAAACAGATTCAAGACCGAGTGGAAAAGCGGCCAAATTAGCCATAGTGTTCAATCGCGAGATCCTACTTAGGCTTTGACAGACCAAGGCTACCCAGAGGAAGGTATCGTTTGCGTTCGAGCATAAGTAGCGTTGAACTGCATTCCGTGTTGTATCGTCGTATTTCTTTTCTTGCGATAACTCATCCACTTTATAACGGATGTATATGCCAACGGCCATCGATATTGACTTCTCGTTTAGCTCGAGACATATCCTTATTTTTTGTGTGGCGGTTTCTAGATGCTCCTCTATGTTGGGCCAGTTGCGACTGGAGACGATCCACTTGACTCGCGAGGATATCGATGATATCCTGACAACAAAATCCAAAAGGAGAGGCAGATCGGTTACGCATTCATTGAGTGCGTCGATGACTAGGTATGTGCTCTGCAAGTTCGGGTCTTGCAAGATGTTGGTGAGGATCTCTAACAAGGCCACCCAGGCGTTTACATCCTCAAAGAGCTGCTTCCCTGCATGATCGTACTTCTTTCGGATGTGTGGAATGAAAGATGGCTGCTGGTCAGCGAGAAGGTAGATGAGGCCGCGCAGTACTGCCGTGGCACTGTTGATGCGTGAGTCGGCGGCCTGGCAGAAAAAGTAGGACAGCAGCGCGCCGTCGACGTGGCCTGCTAGTTTCGTCGACTGGCTCAGCTCGTCGATAATACCGCAAAGCAGCATCGTCTTGCCCTTACCGGGATCGCCCTTGATCCAGAGCAACTGACTGTGTTTGCCATTACGCCATCGCTGGAACTCAGAATTGTCAAGCACCCAGCGGTAGGAGTCTCGCAGTAGCCCACCCTTTCTATCTTCGATGCGGACCTTGTCGAGAAGTCTTACACGTTGGATACTGAGTTATAATCTCATGCCGTTCAAGGTATCAAGGAAGCCTCTACCGCTCATAGTCCTTCGGGATGATAGCTGAGAAGTGGCTTCGTGTCATGTTATTAATGCTTTGCCTTGCCGCAAAAATTAGCGCCGCTTGTGACCACCCGCTGCTTTCATCATCACTCAACAGAGGCAAACCACTACAATGGAAGCTATTTCGATATTTCACCACTCTTTCTCCATTTTCATGGACTGCAATTACATATAACAACAGTATTGTATCTTTCCAATCTCTGCTTTGATCTCACCGTCTGCAATTGTCTCCCAAGCTCTTGAAACAGCCTCCGGAGCCTCATATAGCTCCTGTGCACCTTCGGATCTATTTTTATACGATATCCTTTAATTTATTCCATATGTTCTCAATTCGAGAGATCCAGTGAGAATAGAGGCCAAAAGATAGCCTAGAGCCCGTAAGTAGCCATAAAAGCTGGTGGGGCTTTGGATACGTGCCCTGGTCCCCCGTCTAGGTAATTAAGGAGGTAGTTGAGGATCACTGGGACGGTGTAATCGCAATACAATTTTGATTTTATCGTCCCCCACTCCTTGTCTTAAAATAAACCAATCTCTTTGCCGTATGTCACTACTTATACAAGCCCTGAACATCCAGCCAATTCGTCTCAGCCACTTGCGCTGACTGTCCAATCTCCCTCGTACACCACTGTCTTCTGTGATAACCTGGCCGAACCCAGCTTTCATTACTCCAACAGATCTCGTCCCACAGTTCGTCTATCCAGTTCTTTTCCAGTTCTGCCCATGGAAGCCGGACTATCTGATTCGCGGCAGACGTAGATGGCTTATGCCCCCGCAGTAAACCTCCGTTTTAAATGCTGTGCGAGCAGCTTTCTCCCCACAGCTCCACCCAAGCTATCTGGGACCTCGTTCATTAGTATATCACGGAACAAGGAATTAAAGGTAGCCCAGTCGATAGGGTGCTTACGCTAAGGCTGGTAAGGAGGAGAGCATTAAACACGCGGTCTAGGCCTTCTAGCAGTGTTGCCCCCACTTTAGACCAACTGGCGTGGTTTTTACTTGAAGATCGTCCTTGGCTACCCTCGGCCGTTGGAAGGACTTACACTAAGGATAAGTTATTCACACCAAGCCTTGCTCCATGTTAGGTCTCCCGGTTGCCCACTACGAACTTAATTTGGCCCGAACGGCCTCCTTGTCTGGCGTATAGGATTCCGTCTCAGACGGCACTTTCCCTCCGAGATTAAACGATAGATCTCTTCTGCTTGCCCCCTGTACTGAGGCATGTTGTGCCTTAGCACCGTCTACTTTGTGCAGCGGAAGACGAACTGCTGGGCTATCTCCCGTGCCTGGCCACAGACGGGATATCTGATTCTGCTACTCTGACCTGTTTTGGGACACAGAATATGAGACATATTGGAATTATTGCATGACGACGAGTGACAAATGCCAAGCTGAATCACTAGAACTAGTGAGATGGATCTGCCCATGTCGCCTTCCAGTAACTTGGGAAGACCCAGCTTGGCGGCTCATAATTCTCCCCTGCCTTCTTCTCGTCTCTCCATTCCCTCCCAATCTCCTCAACCACCAATTTAGAAAACACCTTGTACGCCTCCCCGCTCATATGCAACCCATCGGGCAGCAACTTCTCAAGCCATCCCCTCATTCCGCTCTTCACGCTCCCCAGAATCCCATGCTCCGCCTTCCAATCTGGTGTCATGCTAATCGCGTTCTCCATCAGTGATGCAAATAAATCCACCAGTACCACCTTCTCGTCCGCCGCAGAAGCAATATCTCGCACAACTTGCGCATACGTGGCGGTATTTTCTGATGTGCGTGTCCCAGATTCCCAACCGCAGGCGAGGTCAAGCTCAGTAATGTGGATTTCGTCAATTGGGGGAGGGGTGCAGAGGAGGATGGTTGGATTATGTGCGCGGAGGGGCGGAAAGGAGATGATCGCTTCAAGATTTGCCTTATACTGAGGGAGGTTGACAGTCTGGCCTGTTGTGCCGGGAAGGCAGGCATCGTTCGATCCGAGGAGAATGAGCTTAGAAATTAGCTTAGGGTTGTTAAAGTAGATAGCGGGGCAAGTGGGATTCACAAAATAGTCGATCTTCGTGCAGGATGTTGAGGGAATGACATCCTGCAGAATACGAAGGCATTGGGAAGTATTATAGCCACTGAAGCCGCGATTGATGACGTCTAGTCTCCTGTTGCAATCTTTAAATCTCTCAATACCTCTCTTGGGACCCAGAGTAATGCATCATGGAACTCACGAGCTTGAACGGCAGAGTGGAAAACAAATCCATCTAGGTTGTCGGTGCAATGCTGGATGAGGGAATCTCCAAACAGAATTACTTGATGATACGGATTCTAACAGTCTGATCAGTACAGTCTGGGGACATTCAGAGACTTTTAGAAAAAAATTATATATATTATTAATATCAACTTACAGGGACCATTTTGTTAAATATGCAGTTCTAGTCGAATAACAAATTGGCGACTTGACGAGGCTGTGTGGTTGATGTCGAGGGTCACCACGAGAGAGCGTTTGCTCGTCGCCGCTTACACCGGTTGGTTTAAATTGTAGAGATCTACTAAAAGATCAACACGGCAAGACCCTGTGGGTAGAAGAATTCAAGGCTTTCGAGACAGCGTTCTCAATGGACAGGCAGTTTTAGCGTGTCCGACAAGAACTGTCCGTCTAGACTGGACATAGTTTTTAAATGTCCGTCATCTTATTGGACGGACACGGACATTGGCTCCAAATAATTGCTAATATCCGACTGCTCGTCTAAGAAGCTGAGTTTTGAGCCTTGAATAAGGTGGCCTGAGGTGGACGTGACTAAAGCCTGAAATTTAAGGTTGAAGTGTCAAAAATTTTAAAGCCTGAAGTTGAAAATATACTATTAATAGGGTAGTTTTTGTCTTGGCAGTCAAACCGTCTAGAACTGTCTAGAATCTTGATGGTGATGGACATTATTCCGGCCGGATCCGTACTAGTACGGGTAGTGATGGTTCAGGGCCAAAAACTGTCCGACCTACCCATTGAGAGCGCTGTTTCGAGACGCTGAGAACCTGGGGAGAGACATTTAATGTGACATTTTGGCGGAATACTCTTACTGTCACCTGTGACTTTTCGTGTCCGTCTGAGTCTTTATTTTTTGCACGTAAAGAAGCTACAGATGAGGACTGCTAGATGGCGGGTACGAGAGTGCTCGGGTACACTCTCGATGGTGGTTCCTTGCGCAAAAGAAGAGCATGCACAGTATTACTTTGTCTGAAAAAGAGGGTATATGAGTTAGGACTCGATTGGTTTTGGGTTTGATAAGCTAGTTTTAGGATTAAACTCTATATTTTACCTAAAGGAAGTCCAATCTTAAAAGCATGATAATCAACTTTCTGCCCAATTAAAGACTTTGAAAGTGGTCATCATATCAAATTCCAGAAGGATAGAAAGGCCCAGTTGTGGCCCCATCAGAAGACGCGCTTGCCTGCTGCGTCATCTCCCAACAGCCAACGGTAGCATGATCACCCTGCTCCAATCCCAAAACCTGGGGATTGTAATTGTAGATATCATCAAAGCACTCCGAAGACACACATCTCCCCAGCCCAGTCGAATATTCCGTGACTCCTGCACTATTCACGATCTTCATATACTGCGCATTTACCGACAATGGCACAGCACCATGCTGAAACCCTACAACGAACGGGAGTTAGCTTACCTTTTCTAGAATTTTTCTAGGCTGCATAGAACAGGCCCAGGAGCTGTGGGACATTTTACGACTCGCAGCGCAAGCCAGGATGGGAAACAAATAGGATTCTGGTTATCTTACCAGGTTTGCCAGTGATAGTGCCTCCGACTGCGCCGCCGTTACTAACAAACTGGATAGTGTAGCTAGCACCGTCTGATGGCAGGACGACGGCCCAGTTGATGTTATCTAACCCTACAGAGGCACCGTTCGGTGGACTGTAGAACCCGCCTAAGTCGTCGTCAGGGCATGTGGTGCTCTGCAAGATTGTCTTGTACCAGATTGCGCCGACTGGGTTTGCTGATGGTAGAAAGCTGGTCTGTAGGTTGCGAAAAGAGTTGATGAATTCTGTCAAGAGGGGCTGGATACCGGTGTGCGCAGCGCCACGTTGGCTAGCATAGGTATCTGGTTGGACATCCGAATTCTGTTCTGTCCAAAGATTCCCAATGTAGTGGCCCTCTGTCCAGATAATTGTATTAGTATTTGGTTGCAAGGGTATTCCGAGGAATAAAGGCTCTTCACCTGGTCCGTCATTCTAGGTTCTGTCAGATAGAAGAATTTAGAAAAGAGCTTGTGGACTTACCCATGTTATGATTTCCACGTATAGTGGGGCAGGATTCATTGCAAGAATGTTAGCCATCCGAATGGGAAGAGTCTGTTCGCCATGACGGTAAATATTTGTGCCATACTGTGACTCTTTAGTAACTGTTGGAAATGGGACCCGGAGGTTTTATAACATACCGCATCCTTATACTGGAGAAGACTCAGTCCTTTATAAGTTTTGTCAGAAGGTTAATATAGATATTTCCGAACACTTTTAGGAGACATCGATCCGAAATCGCGACCCGATCCATTCCCTTGAGCATAACAGAAGCATTACTCACCGATCATGTATGACTTCGAATGGGCCACAGCACCGTTCAAAACAGTTACGTCTAGGCTTACATCTCCATCATTAGTAGCGTCAACTTGTGGCCAAGACGATTCCCAGCTGAAGAGGCCGTCAACAAGTCCTCCCCAATAACTCCACCATCCATCAGAAGCAGTATAGTATCCATCAGTATTGTCAAAATCTGGCACGAAATAAACGTCATAAGCATCCCTGAAAGCTTGAATATCAGAAGCCTGGTAAGCAGCAGCGCTGAATGCTAAGGAGGAATATTAATTAGCAACCGAGGGCTGGTGGAGTTAATCTCAAGAAGCACATACTGCTGACAAGGGGTTTTCCATTATCCCCTGCGAACCAAGCGCCGCCACCAGCGTATGTATCGATGATATAGCCATAATCCGACAGCTGAATGCAGTAAGTAAGGCAAACTCATTTGCCAAGAGATTGGACAGAACTGACTGGCCCGCCCCCTTTTGCATCAAGGTCCATACTCAAAAAGAGTTTAAATCCGCTACTTTCCGCGTGGTTGAATAAGGAGGCGAGAGCTGGGGCGACATACGAAGCCGATGGATCTGCGACATTCAAGGCGAATGCGTCCAGACTGTAAAGTTCTTAGTGGTCTGTCGTAAACGGCAGGTTTCTGCGTTTTCACCCCATAGACATAGCATTTTCGATGTCTGTTTGAGCATCCTGATCGAAAACATTTCCAACCTGAAGGATCATTTCATTGGCATCTCTTGCATCTGTTACTAAGTAAGGTTTCATACCAAATAATGAGCGAAAACAGCTCTTGCATTTACAGCCGTGAAGACTGATGAAGATACTAGTAAAAGCTGTGGTAAAACAGCGGATGAACGCATGGCTAGGATTGCAAAATGTTCCTACTAAAACAGCTCGAAAAAGCCTGTTAGTAACACATGGAACGTCAGATCGACCACTGTTGAATGTAGAGATATAAATAATTTTGATAAAAAGATAAAAAAGCGAAAGGCACGATAATTTGGCCCTCAGTAATATTGCTGTAAGTGACGTTGCTCCTAAGTAACTTTCGCCAAGCTTTCTGCATGCAAACACACAAATCACCGAAAAAAGGCCGCTTTCTGCAGCGCTGATGCAATCCTACAACGCTAAGCTCCAAAATGAAGCACAAAAGTGAAGGATGACAGGTACTAGTATGAATACGAGACGGAGGAATTGTACCCTTCAATAGAAACTCTGCCCCGCTGGGGATGACCGACAGTTTACTTATGTCCAATATCACGGGGCACACTCACTCACCATGTTTAGAGGTCTGAAGCGAAGTCCAAGCTCGAACATTAATGGAAGAAAGTGCGAGAGTGCGACAAACTGGGGAACATAAGAGACTAGAACAGGGTTCACGTTTTAGTGCTTAGGCATGTAGCCTCAGAGGTCAGAATTCAAATATCGACCCCGCGGAAAATAGAGGGTTAAACCTCAGAATTCAGAGGTGTCAAAATCATGATCGATTAGCATATATGCATAAGGAGTCAATCCACAGATAATTGAGCTTTAGACGTCTTGTAATAAATAGCTATGAAGCTTCCGTCGTCGCTGGTGTGAATGCCATCGTTAGTGCTGTTGGTTCATTCCACTCCCAGTGTCCCAGCACCGAGCTTGTGTTCCTTGGGTATTCTCAGGTTTGTCATTCTTAGATCCATAGAACTATATGAACCCATCTCAGATGATGTAGGGCGGTCAAATCTTAAACGACGTAGTCTGCGGTCGCGGAGACAAGAATGAGGGGCTTTCGAGCACGGCCGTGCTTCTTTCTAGCTCCATTCTCACTCAAGTTAAAGCTGTGATTTTGATAGAGGGACCCTCGACATGTACTTGGGTTGTCATACAATATTGGGACTTCGAGCGCTGGAGGGTACGTCTTGCAACCATGTCCATCGCGTGAATGAATGTCAAGCTAACAATACATAACAAATTTAACGCTCGTCCAGTTGCATTCCAGTGCTCCGCGCCAGCAAGCTCCAGTTGTACTGTGATGCCTCGGATCCATACTGCAGCAACGGCAACTAAGTGTTTTGTTGCATGTCGCAATCTACTGCTAGGGTTGCTGCGGGGATCTGGTACTTTTACCATGTCCTGGAGTTTGTTTCTGAAGACGAACAATTAGTTGTTTTGTTGCACATCGCATTTTGCAGACGAGATTCCTGCGGGGATTGAGGGCTTTGAAATGTTGCAAAGTCTGGTTTTTGAGTAGAGACAATAAAATTAATCGTTTTGTTGCATATAGCATTTTGCCGAAATGTTGTTGAGGGGATTTGGTACTTTATTATTTCTCGAAAGTTAGGATGAAGGATAGACATTGACTTGATTTTTGTGACTCGTTGCCCAAAGTAGAATAAAGCGAGTCAATACCAAGCGGGGTATCTCTTGTATTTTGAAAGAAGGCCAGGGAGAGGAGTGTGGGTTTGTACTTAGATTGCGAGGTGTAAGCATTCCTTCGTGCTGTCAAATAGGTAGATTTCCAACACCTATGTGTTGGATCGTTGGTCCTGAGAGTATCTTCGACGGTGGATGAGGCAACCAACCAGGGCTATGGGAAGGAGTACGATCAACAAGCTTTGGCTTTCGTGAACAGCAAGCTCTCCCAAAGGAAGTTCGTGTTCATGAAAGAAAGCAGGACGTTTGCATTGGCTTGGTTGTTCAAATCGAGCACTTCTTTTCTTGTATGACCGGCGGGAACTCTTTGTGTGATGCGGACTACATATCACTGAGAACCACTTGCTGCAACTCTCTTGTATATATTTGAATCAAGCTACTTTCGAATAGTGTTCTGATTTTCTCCGGGCTGTTTGTTTTGCTCCACCGTGCTGGTCTTTGCTGGTATGTCATCTTACAGACAAGTAAATTCATGTCACCAAAAGGAAAGAGCTGTTATACACGAGAGGTTCGAGAACGATGAGATCGACTTTTTCCAACTGTACTAATGACCAAGCGATTCATTACCGCTATATCCTCAGACAACAACTAAATTCACCAAACAGGGTTGATGCCTCTCCGTGTCAAGTTGAACAGAGCACCTTCTGTCACGGGCTGGCGATTTTCGAAACGATCCCAAGAAGAAATATCAACCCACGGTACGTTCATCTCAAACACCCTCAACCGCTTCTTGATTTTCCCAAGCGGCGACAATATTTCCCTCTCGAAAAGACAGAGACATTGCATACCATCCCACTCAGGGAACCCGGGGTCCTGCAGGAAGACATTTAGCTCCATCAAGTTGTCCATTGCTGCTATGATGCTCCAAACATGTGGCCATTGGGCTTCTACGCCGTCGACCCAGATGATCGTGAAGCGGGGGGCTTGGTGATCATATGGGTCGCCGCCGACACGTAGAATGGAATTCAGGTCGAAGGTCAAAGATGTGATCTGACTCAAGGAAATAGGGTTGATGGCGTGGGCAAATGCGAGGAAATCGTTGTGGTTTTGGAACTGGAATGTATTTTGGGTGTAGATACTCGTGATTGCTTCAGCATATCTGCCAACAACAAATTATTATCATAGTAGAGGATCGAGTACTGAAGATCAAACTTACATTTGGCGACAAGTCTGCAATAGGCTCGTTGATCCGTTGTTAGACCGTTCTCGCGATGGTCGAGGTTTGTGGTAATTTTCTGGAATCTTGAGAACCGTCTTGTGTCCTGTGACGAGACCATATATCTGTTCACGGATCTCCAATGGTAGACGGAAGAACCCCGTTGGCACTCCATGGTCGTGAGCCTTCCAAGTCAACGAAGATGAAGGTGGGTTGACGAGATTCGAAAGTGACCTGTAGATAGTTTGGGGAGTTTCTGATAGAAGGGAAAGGGTCTCTTGGGGAATAGAGCGGGTGGGCTTTGATTTTTCGAGGGCGGCTAGCAGTGCTGAAGGAATGCCAATTGACTTTGCTCGAGTTTCTACTCCCGCCCTATCCTGGGCTTTCTGTTCTAACTCCATGGCAGTCAATGGCATTTCGCTGTGCGAGGTGGTCGACAATAGTTGGATGCAAAAGGACGAAGGTGTTGTTGAAGTTGATCTTATCGGCGACGTTTGGCGGAAGCCTGGTGAGGCTGTGCCACTGCGCCAAGTCCACATCCCCGCATTTCTACCATGTCAGACTAGGCAGACGGGAACTTTTCTTTCTGATACGTGCATATCGACTGTATGAAGCCGTGTGTGGTCTGAGACTACCGAAGTGATAATCAATCATAATGAAGGTTCAGACCGGCTCCGATCATAGCTCCTAAGTTAGTTCTTAGCAGGGAGTCATGTCTATTCGGACTTCGCCTGGTTGAGGATATCTTGTTTTGCAGAGCCTTCGCAAAGCTCTCAGCCTCAGTTTGACCAAAGCTTCACGTCTTTGCTCTCAAAATCTCTCAGTTCCTGGAAATGTATGTACTGTTCACGATTTTGATATTCTTTTCGTGTTGTACACTCCCTCAATGTCACTCAAAATGCTCGATTACCCCGCATTTACCCCGCTATAGCTCAAAGAACCTCAACACACATATTGTTACGAAGGTACGCATGGAATGGACAATCATTGCTTTGCATTTCAATAAAAAAGCTTCAGTGTTGTAAAATCATGTAGATAAAAATGTTTGGCACGTCCTCGAGTCCATAATAACTGGTGCCCGCCATTTTTTCCTGGTGTCCTTTCCAACTATCTCAAGAGCACTTGGCAACAACCTGTAGCTGCGAAGGCTATGCTCAACTCGACAGATATCATTCCTTCGAAGTCTTTTCTCCATAGGGTGCGTTATTCAGTTGTGTGATACAAACACCACCTCTCCAATATAGCAAGTCGTTGTGTTGAAATCCGCATTGTAAGTAGCAACTGGAGGGGTCCGCGTCCATTGGAACTTATTGTCTGCTCCTTGCCTAGAAAGTCATCAGTATCTCATCGTACTATAGTTGCATCAGAGGAGTGACTTACCAAACCTCCCAGTCGCCAGTACACCAACTTGTAGTCGTAGTCTGAGACTCAATAATAATGTTGCTCCAAACAATCTGTCCCCAATCCCAAACTCCCTTACCTTGAAGTTCGATTATGACTTCGGCCTATTGTTGTCACTTATGATGGTTCCATTCAGGAGAGTAGAATGACTCACTTTTTGCATAGGATTGAAGTTATTGACAGCTATGCAAAAGAACATATATCAGCAACTGTTCGTATCCGAAATTATCAACTTGCCATAAACATTATCAAAATGCCCATCAGTGATCAAACCACCTCCCATCGGCGTCTCTCCCGCAGCATGGCCAACTTCACCAGGTTGAAGCGCCCAGTTGTCATACCAGTTCTGAGACATGGCGTTCCAGCGGAAATTCGTCGTTAAGGTATCTCCTGGGTAGACTGCTAGCTATCAATCATAAGGCTCTTCGTTCTCCGTGCTTAAACTTACCTCGTCTCTGGGTGGCAAGATTCGTAGCAGGTCTATGCAATCATGTTAGTCTCCGCAATCATTTGAAGCTGCTTGAAAGCCAAACATACGTGCAACACCAATACGGCAACAAATACCACTACGCGAACCAATCAGCACTCCCACCACCTCGCAAGAATTCACTCACCTCCCCCGGTCCACCACCCTGATTCGTAATAACTTGCTGGTAAAGCACATTCTCAGACTGGGGCGCAGGTTGTAGTCCGGGCCAGAAAGCTTGGATCTGCGACGCCATCAAGGGGTTGGTGGATGTATTTGGAATCAGGACTGTGATGTCAAACTATAGTTTGTTTGGTAAGCTGCGAGGTTGAAAGGAAGGGGAGAGCTAAGAACCTTGAGGATGGGGCCTGGGGTTGGGATTTCGAAGCCGTAGAAGGAGCTATTTGCGGCGTGGACGAGGTGAAACAGATATGTGGTGAAAAGGAGGGAAAGGTGGGAGAGTGGATTCATGGTGGATGTTGGGTGCTTAGGCTGGTAGTGAGCCAGTGGTTGGTGCTGAAGGAATGGCTGGTATCAACTAGAATTTCAAGTTTGTCTTTGAAGGAGTGCTTTTGGACTTAATCTTTGGTTGCAAAAAGAGGACAGAACTTATGAATAAGACATGGGGCTCTTTCAAAGGATGTGTATTGGCTAGTGAATGTTTTCATGCATTCACAGCTGAAGCTTCACCTGAGAGCTATATTGTTGGTTATTCACCAACGGACACCAAACTTCATTCTGCCACTCCCTAATAGGTCTAGGTTGATTTCTAAATTGAGTGACTCTTACTTCTTTTGTCCGTAGTACGCGATACTCAAAGGAATGACTTACCGTTTGCGTAGCATAGGTCACCATTTTTGTTGTTTATGATCATGCTGGGAACTTCTTTGGGGGCTCAACATCGCAGCCTTTGTGAGAGTGAGATATGAAATTAAAAAAAAGTCTCGCGTGTGAAAGCTCGCCAAAGCATATTTGCACTATATCTCGTAAGCTACAGTATGTTTCAAAACACACTTTTCAGGCGATGGCGAACCCCTAAGCGAATTATTTCAGGCCCTAATTATAGCGCATTCAGGGCGCGGGTTGCTGAAAGTTTAGCGAAGATGGATTCCTCGGGCTTAGGAAAGTGTGTTTGCCGCATTTTACACCTCTACAATGAGGTGAATCTTGAAAACAACTGATCTAGATCTACCTTTCTCAGAATTCAAAGGAAATATGAGTGAATGAAAGACCGTGCTCAGCCTTAATCCACGCTAACGACTTCTCCCAGGTATATAAACTCTTCAACTGACCTAACGCTTTTGGGAAATCATCATCTTGAAAGTTACATACCGCCCTGTCAGAGACTGTGTGGTAAAACTAAGTTGCCGCCTTGTATCAAAAGAAGGTTGGGTGCTTGGGATGACCGCATTTGCAGGGCCAGGATCCAAGGAGGAGTTGCTTGGTAAGAAGTTAAAACTCACGTTGATGGTCTCTTCTTGCTGTCAACAAACATTTTTCACTGTCAACATATTTAGTTATGTCACGAAGTGATAACACTCAATGCCAACTTAAGATCTAGCTCCTCTTCATAACACATGTCACATTGCTGGAGGGAACAATTTGAAAATATCCATAAAGAACTTTAAAGCTGCGCTTATTGAGATACAAGTCAGTGACTCTCGCTGATTCAGTCTGGAAGTTTTGTTAATCCGCCAAATCCGAGCATTCAATCACTTCAACGCCCCCTACTACTCAAGCATTGACTTCTCCCCTCAAACTTCCTCTATCGTCTCGCTCTCAGCCATGCCCCTCATATACAATGCTCGCAATGAAGCAACTCGTTGTATTGGCCGCAGCATTCACAGTAGCCACAGGTGTTGTCCGATTCCAAATGAGACTATCCCATCCTTGTCTGAGCGAAAATTAGTTGACACTCGCTGCAAGATTGCGAAGATCCCAGTGAAGATACTCACTCCACTGCCCAATTCCCAGTACACCAATCGGTCTCTTGTGTCTGAGCTTCGATGAGGATGTCTTTCCAGTAAACAGTTCCCCAGTCCCATTGTTCACCTTCTTGTGTCTCGACGTAGAGCATTGCCTGTAGGATTCTTAGCGTCTCGCTATAGTTACAAGTGTCGAAGGACATACATGCGGGTGATTCGTGGTGGAGCTACTTGGAGCTATCAAGGAATGTTCAGATTAGTCGCTCGCAGCATAATCTGATGGGCTAGTGGCTTACAATAGAGCTGATCAAAAGGACCTAATATCAAACCACTGGCCAGTGTCACTTCACCTGCCGCGTGTCCTGCTTCTCCAGGATTGATAATCCAGTTATCATACCAAGTCTGGGAGAGGTCGTGCCAACGGTATTGAACCGTGATCTCATCACCAGGGTAGACTTCACACATTAGCTTGACCGCTCTGTCTACCATACACTGAGTTATAAGTACCGTGTCTGGGAGGGACCTGGTATTCTGCTGGTCTTGGCAAAAATCACCAGTCAGCTGTGTTCCCGAATCCCAAATGAAGAGACTTACTGGCAGCAGAAATATGGCACCATTATCCACTACTGGATGTTAACTTCCAGATCTCTAAAATGTCTGCCAGATGACTTACCTGGGGGTCATCATTTGCAATAACATGTTGCATCAATTCTGGGACATTTTGGATCCCGGGCCACATGGCGCCAACGTTGTTATCTTTGGCATTCCATACGGGCTGGTCGGGTGTTCGTGGGACGATAATAGTCGAGTCGAACTGTATTCACATTAGCATGTGTATGACAGGAGGATGACGGTACAGACTTTGAAGATTGGAGCTTGCGGTTGGATCGATACGCCCCAGAAGTAGGTTCCGTTGGTGAAGGTCGCAGCTTGGGCTGAGTGAAAAGCATAGCATGCAAGAATCCAGAGAAGGGATTGAGACCAGATCATATCGGGAGCTTTGAAGATATTGCGAATGTTTGTTTTGGGCGCTGGCGCAAGGGGAGAAGGTCAAGAATCGAAGAATAAGAAGATTAGGAGGAGTTAATGGGCTAGAAATCATGGAATAAACAATCTTCTGTTGGCTTCATTCCCTTGGATGAGTCCAGTGTTATTCTCTGGATATTCACCTGTTGTAATGTATATCTCCCGACAGCTTAGAGCTTGTAAGAACTTATGAGCATAGGTAAACATGAGTTCTTGGGCTATTCTCGGCATCACGATATGAAGAAACGAAGCGGAGGTCTCCGAGGGAGTTTTGAAAGAATGAATCATGGAAGGAAGAAGAATGGGAGAGCAGACCTCGCCACATGTCAACTGTAGCAAGTGAAGCATATTGTATTTATCTTCAGTCATTAATGAAATGAGATCTAGAATTTTGAGATCCCATTGTCAAATAATTCTTTTCACGACCCGTATGCCGTCAAGCTCGCTCGGTCCATGAATCAGCTAAGGGCTGGCAAAACCATCGTCGAGTTGGACAGAAACCCGTCCACTGTAAAGGATATTAGGTTGAAGTTCATTTTACACAGAAGCTCACTTACGATTGGCATTATAGGTGACCATCTGAGTGGCGCTGAAGAGATTTTAGCAAGAGGCAGAGATGAAGCTTCAGATAACTCACTAGTATGGACTTGTCGTTGCTGAAATATCCCCAACATACACGACGTCAAAGCCCTATGGACATGTGAGCAGGAGCGCATATCAAACAGGGGTGGGCTTGCCTTGTAATATGCATCGAGAAATGTTCCCCACTACAACAAGTCAGCACCAGAAATGGGCAAGAGGGAGTGACACATACCACACACTGATCGGCATTGACACCGCCAAAGAACAGGGTTGTGATTTCGTTTTCTTGTAGATAGAGCCCAAGCGGTGTCTGCGCACCCCATAAGCCGGAGAGGCGATCTTCATCTTTAGTCAGAATCGAGCATAGCTCACGATAAAAGAGGCTTACTTTTGTTGAAGTACAAGTCAGTTCCACTTGCCACTCCTTCGACTTGTAAATCATATAGCGGGCCATAGGGCCGCGCATTCCATGACCCTCGCATCAATTTCAATCCGGCTGAAATGTTTGTCCCAGGAACAATGCCCATATCAGTACCGAACGTTGCTAAAATTGGTAAGTTGTCATTCATGAGAGCAACAAAGCTAGCTTACTTGTCGAAGAGTGGTTATTGGAAAAGCCGTCGAGGAAAGCAGGTGGAATGGCTATTGATGAATCAGTATACACTTTTAAAGGAGATTAAAGAGCCGAGGGGTTCATCCGAGGAGTTGAGACGCAATCTCTTATGATGAGCGGTTCTCGAGGATGATCACGAAGATCTCGGCTCCTGGAATAAATATAAAGCAAGGCAGGATTTTGACTTACTCAAGAGGTCATAATTGTCAAGGCCCCACTTTCTCAATTAGAGGAGCAACAGCATACAATCCAGAACTCACATTCGTCCACAACACTTTCATACCCGCCTTCCGAAACCCTTGGATCATGTTGACAGTCGCATTGACAACACCTCTTCCAGCTGTGGCTTTTGGACTCAGACCAGGATGCAGAAAGAAATCTAGGAGAAGTCAACGCAAATTTCAAGAAAACAGAAAGGCACACCCACTCTGCATGTCGATGATAACCAATGCCGAACGAGACGCTTCTACGGTAATTGTACTTCTGCTGCCGCTACAAGGGATCGTGTATGTGGTAGGAGCCGGCTCTCGAGCCGATCTCGTGAGATCCCACAGGCCAGAGGCTGTTTGAACCCAACTTGACTTGTCAATAAGTGCCGCTGTAACAGGAATGGTGCTTTACTAGTTATAATAATTACCAAGTAAAGACGAGTTGGTAGATAAGCCTCCAACCACAGCAGTATATGTTCCTTCTGTGAATTGGGCACTTGCTGGCGCAGCGGTGGCAAAGAACCATTGAATGAAATATTTCACATGCATTTTGCAAGCAATCGAGAGTAATCAAAGAAGAATTAGAGATCGGAGACCAAAGCATTTGTTTGGGCATTGTATGTGCGAAATGTAGCCTAGATATATATATATCTATCGAGAAGTGGGATGAAGTTGGCCGACCCTGGCCGATATAAGCTTTGTTGATATATGTGGGGTAATTGTAAGCAGTGAGGTTAAATACAACCTATGATAATTCCCGGATATGAAGGATGCAAGGGCACGGATAGACCTATCCGCAAGGCACCCCGATCATGATGTATCTGTATTTATGTCGAGATAAGAAGTGGAAGAAGATCGGCGTTGGTGACATACATTTGCCAATGAGGAAGGAGGTAGGTACACCAATCACGTGTTGGATCTACCAATATGTTTCGATTACTTCATCGTGTGAGCAACTTCATGACCGATCATTTGTCTTACGGGTAACTTTAGAGAAGTTTGTGCTGTCCATTGATGCTCTTGATTTTCTCACCCATCAAGCAAGATCTTTCAAAAGCCTCTCTATTTGTCTCCTGCATGTTGCCTCTTCTTGTGGTCCACGATATTTCCTTCCTTCCGGCTGTTCATTCTGGCACAGTTGTAGAGATCCCCGCGTAGCATCAGCATCTTCATAGTCAGATTCTCTCTTTCGGTATCGTCTTCCTATCTCGTTGGTGCCTATGTTTTGAGGTTGAATTCTCCACAAGCTCCCTGACGTCTTTGCTGTAGCAAAATTCCCGATCTTGGTCTAGTCCAACCATGATGACAGAAAAAATTAGTTCCAGGGTTTTCCTTCTCTCATACATGAAAGCTGGCGCTCGAATTCCTCTGCTTTGCCGTTTCGAGTGAGAGCTGCCCCACAGATCGTTGTCGTAAAGTCAAATATTTTTAATGGATTTTGGGGGAAGTCTTCGGATATCGGACCCATTATAATCCGCTTGGGTTGTGACGGCGGGCATCAATTCGAACTATACCTTCAATTCAGAAGGCTGATGTGCTCTCGCAGCCCGAGGAGAGACTTTCAACGGGCTGTAGTAGTCTCGGTGTTAGCCTTACAATCGGCAGAGAGAAACTATTGCATTGCAATCTGACCTGAAAAGCAGGAATGGTAAGATCTTACAACCTTTGATTAACTCCTTTGGAAGTTCGAAACCCTCCTTCTGAAAAGCCATCAGGTATACCCAGAAGAACGATATTCCCAGTAAAGAATAGCTGACTGAGATTGACACTCTACTGGCAACGATATCAGAGCGGTAAGGAATGCTACTAGACCAATTGTGGTTGTAGCAGGAATTTGGCGGAAGGGAATAGCATTGCTTCCGTGAGCAACACGTAAGTTCGATATCGGAATCTCGATATGAACATTTTCCATTTCCGTCTTTAAACCTGAACTGTGGGTGAACCAGACCTGAGCCAGGTTGAGTGAGCAAGTGAGCCAAGGAAATGAGCCCACGATGGACTGAGGCGACCTGTTTGGGCTCCTCGGCTACGACTGCCACTGGCTAAAATTGGAAAGATTAAGTCAGGCAGGGGTTCTTTCGGGGCCACTTTTTTCCCCGGTGGAGAGGAACACCAAAACTTCGATCTGAGTTTTACTCGAATAATTCTTTGCGTAATATATGTAGTCTTTTGACGTTAGGTTGTAAGTTGGAGATTAAGTATGTCGACTCTGATCATTAATTGCAGCTTAATCGGATTTGTCGTTGTTTTATGGAACAAACCGAGTTGCTGAAGTCGGCAGCTGCTGTTGACTTTTGAATGCATTTTCTAAACTGTTTATCACCTCTCAGGTTGGAGCGAGGAGCGACCCAGCACACCAGTAATCGATGATTAGATCATTACTGTACACCGTGTAGGTACGGAGTATGTCAAATGTGAATCGGCCACATCTAGGACGGACGTAAGTTTACGGTGTACAACTCCGCCCATATCATGTCATGTCATCGAGAAGCGCCCGGCCAGCGTTAGCGCCGCTCAGAGTTGATAGCTGATACGTTCGTGGTCTCATGTGGATGATTATTGGTGGTGCCAACCATTAGCTTGATTTGGGGAATAGCCGCCCGGCGCCAAAAGTGAAATAACGCTGCGTATTAAGACGGACGATAAGGAAACCCAACCTCTCGTACCTCATTCTCAGCATCGACAGCAGCATAGTTAGCAGCAGCATCTAACATTCTGACCGCGCTCACTTTGGCACCATCTTCGCTCTCACCAACCTTTTTTGACTTTCTTATATATAATTTCTACGTCCCGCCTCTTTCCATGACTTTTCAGAATGGCAGATCCAATAAGCACTGCTTCTGGGCTGCTAGCATTGGCAGTGTTTGCTTTTCAATCCAGCGCACAGCTCTACCAGCTGGTGCAAAGCTTTCAGAGCCATCAGAGGGTTGTGCGTGAGCTTAGGGAAGAGCTCGAGGACCTGAATGGGGTCTTACGATCTCTTCAAGAGACCGCCGCCAGCACGGATGCCGATCTTACAGCGCTTAAGCTCCCTCTCCTCCGCTGCGGCAAGGCATGTAAGGACTTCGAAGCGATAATTGTCAGATGTACAGCCCACTCCAATGGATCTAGGACGAGTTTTAGAGACTGGGCAAAATTAAAATACATGGGGGATGACATAGTTGGATTTAAAACCATGCTGGCAGGTTATAAATCTACTATCTCTATTGCGCTCGGTGACGCAAATATGTAAGTTTGGTGAGTATCTTTGCGCACGGAACTAATTCTCTGTCGCGCAGGCGTACGGCCGCGATTACCGTCAACGTCCTCAAAGAATACAAACAACTAATCTCGAATACGACCTCCGACCTCGAAGACCACCTCGAAAATATCAACTGCAAACTACAGACCATCTCTTCACAAGGCGCGGGAATTTCAAATGAAGATACCGCCGAGCGACAACAATTACAGGAGGAAAGGGACAGCACTCAAAAATGCCTTGATATCTGCGCCTATGTCTTGACGCAAATAGACCAACTTCAGCCTAACGCTTTCATAAACATCTCAGCAACATATCAAGTGCCCGTCACCACACTTAGTGGCCTTACTTCCGCTCAGCTAGTCACTTCCAATACCTTTAAGGCGTGCAGAGAGAAACTCACCAATACGGCCACTCAGCTTGAAAGACAGCTCCAAGATATCAACAATCGACTACAAAAATTCTCCTCGTCATCAGTAAACATATCGAACGAACAAGCGGCTGACCAAGAAAGGTTGAAAGAAGAAAGGGACAGCATCAAACAAAGCTTAGACATTTGCACCGAGGCCTCTAAGCAAGCAAGCCAAGAACGAACCAATGTCTTCGAAGATATTTCTATGGCGGATAATGGCTATCAAATGCTCGTCTCAACGGTTGGGGACCTGATATCAGCAAAGCGCGTCACTATTGGGTCCGGATCGTTACAGGTGATGGGGCAGATGTCTGATGATTCTCTCCAGCAACTCTCACGTGATCTCGGTTCTACTAGTACAGAGAGAGCTATGGAACCGCAGATAGGAATTAGTCCGGCATTTGAGAACCGCTATGGAACGGGATTCAAGCTCAGCTCACAAACCCCGAAGGACCTAGGAGCGACACAGAAGTAGAAGAGGTCAAATGAGCAGAAGGTCAAGTTTTCTCGGCTGCTGAGAACGCCGGCCAAGTTGGTATTACCGTACAGGATGCGACATCGGCCAGGAACTCGACCTCGACCCTGCCGCTGTAACACTCGAGTGCGAGCCTTATTAGCTGGGGTTGTTCTTTAATTGACTTTGTTGATCGCGTTATTAGGGGTTATGGAGCCGTATGTTGAGCCTTGAAATTTACTTTTTGTTTTGCGCAGGATTACTCTAGCTGTATTTCTGCGCAATCTGGCTTCTCTTGTTTGCTGGATAGCTAACTGCACATCTTTTAGGCTATCTCTGTACTGTTCTCGTTTCTATTAGTTTCTAGGATGGCACCACCATCAGATTCTGTTGCTGTTCGTTAAGTTCTACTTCTAGATCTCTAAGGAATCCGTAAAACAATAACTCAATCAAGCTGAGCTGGGCTTGAGCAAAGGTGGCGCGAGATCACGTGAACTTGATGGTTGGGAGGTGTCGAGATCGGTTAAGAAACAGCCATATCCTCATCGAGAGCGTTATCTCTCAATGTAGATGTCGCGGTCCACTATTCGAACATTGATGGTCTGAATTGTCCATGGTTTGTATGATAAGCGTCGATGTAGACTGAAGCTAAGAGTCAATATTGTTGAGCCAATATTGTTGCTGTCGAGTGTGTTGGACGCAAAATACGACTTACACGGAAGTTAGTGTCCAAGAATCTTCAACGGAGAGATTGGACTGCGTTGTAAGCGTTCGTGCTTGTCTATCGTGTTCTCGACTAACTCTCGAGGGCTACTTTGAGTACAATATTGGTACCCTTAGAATGGGCCGGGTCAAACTTTTACAATCCAATCTGCTCAGACAACTTGTTTTGGCCGGAGCTTTTGGACTTTTCCATCAAAATCCTCAGCTTCTCCATTGACAGCTGAAACGAGACCGCACGCCACCTTTATTACTCTGGAAGTCCAGACTTTGAGGTTGAAGCAAGCTCCATAAGATACAACATCATAGTCTGAAATGAACCACACCATTTCTATAATCAGCAATATGTACATACAGAATGTAATTTGGTGTATATTATAGTAGCCATCAACAAGATAACCATGCAGATCTTGCAACTTTCTCTATTCAGAGCAAATTAATTCACTATAAACTGTTCATTCACGTGATCGCGAGCATTTGTCCTTCTTTCTTGTCGGCCTCAAGCTCGAAGTGACTAAGGCTACATTAATGAAAAGCCTATAACAGTAAATGGTGGTCTTTCAGAAAGACGGAAAAGGGTTTGCCAGCGGCCCAAGCGTTAAGTGTGTCTGCACGTGGCCACGTGATATGACCTGAAGATTTACAACCAACTGTTCATGTTCGAAGACACAAGTTCAGAGGCGAGAACGAAAGAGAGCATTACAGAAACAACATTCATGATTGCATCGCAGTGTTTTAGGCAAGAACTCTTGATGTTTCGAGGTCAATATCATTGAGGTTTTGCTCAACTTTGAACACGACTTCACCTTTAGAACAGCACACGCGTCAAAAGGCAGAGTCACAGAATTGTTTCAACCTCAACTCTTCCAAGATTTCTCAACACAACATCATCACATTCCAAACATCAGAACACCACCTTCATCATCATCGTTCCCATCGCCATCGCCACTATGTGGTACTCGGCTTTGCCATCCAATCTCTCTCCCAGTCAGAAGCCATATCCATTGACTTCCATCTCCGAGGGTCGGGTCTCACCGCATTTGAGAGCTAGAAGAGCAACGCAGGCTCCTCTTCCTGATGCTGTCTCCCCCTCTTTGCGCGAAGCACTCATTCGATCATCCCCAAAGAAGGCCAGACGTTTCTTGACGGAGAGCTTCCACAGTCGCGCTGAACAATACGACCCAGCTTGGCGTATTCTTCCGAAGGCCAGCGACTCCATCACCAACTTGAGAAACCCGAAATCAAAGAAGCTGTCAAAGAAGGAGTTGAAGTTGGCCAAGCTTCACAAATCGAAGAAGTTGAACGTCGAAACCTCCAAAGTCGAACTCACCGGTCTGGATGCCTACAACTCTAAGATTGCCGAGCTTTGCGCTCTTCGAAAGCTTGAAACGGAACACGCGCAGAAGGCCAAGAAAGCCGTGGAGTCCACTGACTTGATGTCCGCCAACCCTATCACCCGGTAAGCTGAGTCCGCTCCACTACCATGATCAATACTGATCTTCAATAGATTCGATAGTCTGATTGATTTCAACGATCCATTGTTATTAAAGATCACACCTGGAGGCCATCAACTCTCTGCAGATTACTTCGCGAAGGTCACGAGGGACTCAACTTCGAAGTCGTCTCAGTCGCACAAATCCTCCAGCCGCCACCGGAAGAGAATCGCATGTATAACTTTCTATGAACGAGGCCGTGTTGTACGAGGGCAAAAGTCGGCTTACATTCGGGAATGGGAGAAGGAAGCCGCCAAAGCTGCACGAAGCAGAGACGAGGAAGCTGATGATAACGTTGACATGTTCATCCAGTCGTTCAACAGAATGGGCATGAGTTAATTCTAGGTTGACATCACAGGAATTAGAGGATTGAGATTGGTCATATGGACACCGGCATGGTTTCATTTCGGAGAGTAGTTGTGCACTTGTTGCCAGAGTGTTGAACTTCATCGTGCCTTGCGCATCAGTCTAGTTGCACGAAATGAACACATTTTGAAGAGGACATGCTCTGAATACTTTGGTGTTTGTGAAGCCAGGCAGGCGCGTCACTGAAATTAAAAAGTTTTCACCTTCCGAGCTTCCAACTTGCCAATGCCAAAGTCAATACTCAGACCTAGCTAGACCTGAGACAGTGCGAGATTTCTGATATACTGCTCAGTACCACGCGCTTACTCTTGTCGAACTTGTTGCCTTTAGGTCAGCCTGTTGAGGTATTTTGCCTGTGCAAATTTCCAAACTTCATCAAAGTGAATTCACCTTCAAGAATGTCGTCATTGTGGCTCACTCTGAGCTAAACATGTATGATGTCTGAAGTAGTCCATAACTTGAGGGCTTTCGATTATTCAGTCGCAGCTGTCTCCATTGATGTTTGAAGTCTGGACCAGGTCATCTCGCATCATCTGCTCAAGTTCAGAAACATGCTCTCGCGCTTTTGCCACCCAGCACTCCTTACACTCTATGACGTAATACCTCAAAAGGCTTTACAGAGATTGTTCGGAATACTCCAAGGCGCTCCAATCAAACCTTTCTCGATTCTAAGTACAGAGAAGTTGCTTTCGATGCTCGGGCATATCCGACCTCGAGAGAGCTCGAGCTCGCCACGTGATCTCCGAGAACTTTCATTTGCTCCAATGTTCAAGTCTTTCGTAGGTATACGGTCAAGCTCGAGGAGTGTTGACAGGATCGAGTTGGAGTGGAATTTGCTGAATCTGGATTAGCGCCTCGCGTAGAATATGATGAATAGGGGAATTGCATGACATAAACCAGGTACTCACCAGAAGGCCAGGTGTGCCAAGCTGCTTTACGAGCTCCCCCACATCTTGTCATACTCCTTTTGCTCCTTCTCACTCATGACTCTATCGTGGCTGTGTATTGTACTTGTTGCTTCCTTGTCGGCTTCGTGTGCTGGACTGGCAGCTTCCGTGCCTGTCGTCAAATGAGATCGTACCGCCGCCCACTTCTGGTTGTGACTCTTCAAGATGGCCGCTTTCTCTTTTGTAGTTCTGGAAATCTGTGGTGGTCTCTTGTCGGGAACGCCATGATAATGCTCGAACTTTGATTGACGTACGCTGAAACCCACGGCTTCTCGATCTGATTCAGAACTCTTTGCCTTCAAAACACCCTCTATATAATTCCAGCGGATTTGTCCATTCTCGTCGTAGTAGTTTAGCGTCTTTTTCTTTCGATTGTGGGCAAGGAACGTTGTTCGATATTTCTCCGGCATGGAATTAACCACAGCAGCGCGCTTTAAGGGGGAGACCTTTACGCGGATTAGCACTGTGGGGATACAATGAACAACAAGAGAGCTCTGTTGCTGATAAATATTCAGAATGTGACAAAAACATCAACGAGTGTCATTGACTTGGAAGTCGTCGGGTAACTCCAAGCTCCCATCCTTGTGCCCAAAAAATGGAGGGTAGAACCGGTATAAGGTGTCTTACATGCTCTGGTAACGGGGATTGAGTTGCACACCTGACGCGGAGGTTCCAACCGTTCAATGTCTTGGTCTGATTTGTTCGCTCGTTGTTGCGTTCATGAGGGGAGAGCAATGAAGGCACAATGGTACGTGACGCCATTGTCGATGTTGTGGGTATTGCAGCAAATTTGGTGGTGGTTCAGAAACTGTAGAGAGATAGCTAAAGCTGGGAGCTCAAGTGGACAAAAGGCTTCTGAGCAAAGGATTGCCAAAGACAACAGCATTTAGGGTGGGGTTGACGTTAGAGTAGAGAAGAAATTTTCGAACGGTGAAAGGAAGATGTATACAGAAAATAAACTGAAGCGTGTCCAGTGCGCTACCCAGCGTCCTACTCTCCTAGAGACTTAGCGTCCTACCGTCCTATCAGCTGTAAGCGTAGCGGTTTGTTTTAGTCCATACGTAAACAGTTGCTGTTTGTGAACAAGGGCCCCGCTATTCACGAATCGCATATGCTATTCGTGAATAGCAGGGTGTTTATGTATAGCACCCCTAGTTCATTCATTAACCCTGCTATTCATAAACAATTAGAGCATATCGAGCTACCCAAGGCTAAACAACACCAATAATAAACAACCCGTAAAAAAGGCCCTAGTCTCAGCACCTTCAGCACCTCCAGCACTTCTAGCACAGCAACAAGGCACAGCACCAACACTTACTACTTCACTATACTTCAAGGCTCAAGCATAAGATTCTAGGTAGTGTGATAAAAGTAACGAAAGACTTGTCAGAGGCGCAACACCAGCGAAGTACTTTACCTCTAGAAAATTCATGGAGCATAGGAGGCTAGTCATACAATAGAAGAGCTATAAATAACCGTTTTAAGCTACTCATGATGCGCAAATGACCAGGATTGCTTGTCTTATCTGGTGTTATGCCACAAAGCGTTTTAATGACTTTGTACCTCTGCTACCCTTTACCAGACAGCTGCAGGTTTCAATCGGTATTTTTCAGGAGAGATTTCAGATCCCAAGGCAGAGAACGAAAAAAATAACTTTAGCATCCGATCACTAGCTATGCACGCATGAGCCTTTGACCCGCATTGTGTCTTTGCGCAGGATCAAAAACTACCAGAGCATCACAAAACAAGAATTGCAATTTTTGACATCATTCTAACATGTCGATATTAGAAGGGAAAATACTTGCTCATTAACCTGCCATCAGGGAGGGCCCTTTTTAATTACTTTTTCCAAGTTGCGCTTTGCGCACTCGTAACCACGCTGCGCTAACTTCGTTCACTTTGTCGACAGGACTGGTCGTCACATTCTTTCTCCACGTCGAAGCTGATATCGTATCAGGTAATTATTGAATTTTCTTTACCCGGCTACTGGGCTTGAGTTGAAAAAGCGCAAATTGACTTTCGCTGTCTTCTTAACCAAGCCTACCCACGAAGCCTTTTACAACCACATCGTCTTCAACATGTCTGCGGACTTCTGCTCTTTGCCTTCGCGGCTCTCTCCTCGACAAGCAAAACAGCCAAAGGTACCTTCTGAAGGACCAGAGTTGAACCCTAGGCTTGGACTTCGACGCGCGACACACCGGCCTTTGCCAGAATCTGTCTCTCCCTTGATGCGCGATGCTCTTCTAAGATCCTCATCTGGCGAAGCTCAAGAGTATCTGTTGGGAAGTTTGAAGAAGCGCAGGAATCGATACGATGAAGATGGACGTCTTCTCCCAAAATATGCAGACGATATGAAGAAGGCGAGGAGTCCCAAGAAGGATCTTAATACGAAGCTGAAGGGGACCCAAAGGAAGGAGGGCAAGAAGACTATGATGGAGGATATCATGGCGTAACAGTGTACAGAAGAGACCAGTCCCATGGTTGGTAGCTCAGGAGATGAAGGTTTCGGACTCAACTCGTACAACATCAAGATGACGGAAGCTCGTCAGCGAAAAGCTGAGCGCAGAGAATTGCTTGGTAATGAGGGCAATCTTTCCTCGAGCATGTCCCCCTCAAGCAGTCCAGCGAATGAAATGGAGTTCCGAGACGTGAAGTTTGAAAGACTCCAAGATGATTGGCCAATAAACAGCCCCAGGTATGACTAGATCAGCTTGCTTCTATACAAAGAGTTTGTACTGATGTTGCTGAGGAAGACTCCGTCCCAGATCACCCAATGTTTCTACTCAATCTCGTCCACCATTCGCCAATCTCTTAGGAACAAGTCGTCTCCCCAGCCCCAGACGAATTCCAGCAGGAAGTCATCCTCCCCTCTCGATCCAAAGCTCTCCACCGGAACCAGTTCTCGCCACTGGGAACGACATTTCATCTGTTAGCAGAACTCTGGCAGCGGAGCGAGAGGCTGAAAAGACAATGGAGGAGTTCGCAGACTTGTTTAGCAGCAGGTTGAGGATTTTTTAAGCATGATAATTGAGGAGGGAAAGCGTCTGATTTGGAATTACAGGAGGTGCATGTGTTAGGGTATCAGATTATTGGGGGCTTTAGAGAAGCTTTCGGGGTACTTGTTGCGTAGAAGCGCATACCTTATTGAAGAAGCATTAAGAAGTAACGAGGATACCTATTTGGTGTATGAAACAGTGGAGGAAGCAAATAAATGTAGTGTATATCACGACGCTTGAATGCAGATTCACGTGAGATTGTTCTTTTTGAATCAATATTAAATCCTAGTGTTTGAGCTTGGAGGTCATTTTTTTCTCCATCTTCAATCTTCGCTAGGGGGAATTCGCAGATCTTGCTCCTTTAGCCAAGATATTGCCAAAAGCTATCCACGTTACAAGTAACTACATCTCTCCACTGGTACCAGATTAGTCAACCCAAAGTCAGACTATCTACTGGTGCTGTGCGACTTATCCACCTCACTACCAGTCAATTCACTGTCACTACCTCTCACACCTAATATTTGCACGATTTCAAATTGATTGCCGCACATGCTAAATGCCTTACTTTACCCGATCCTCCATGGCTTTATAGATTTTGACCAAAGCTTTATTCCATTTTTTCTCCCTCATTATCCAAAATTTGTAACGAGAATATCATATTTGAGAGAAAGAAGCAGAAAGGAAGGGTTTGCGAGTATCTGATGTTGACCAATAGCGGGAGACCATTTCTCTAGATACTCTCCACTCATCGCTTGGCTTAAACCAGATCTTTGTAACTTGAGGCAGAGAGAAGTTTGTAACCTAGGGTTGCATAACATTAGATCCAATCAATAGAGAGATTTGGAAACAATGGCAATTGTAGTGCACGAGAAGGAAAGTATTTGGTTGATGTAGATTAGCTGTAAAGTTGCCTAGCGTGTTATTCAGTTTCTTCCTCAATAATTGTCAACCAGTATCTATTCAAGATACCATAAATTTATATGAAGTAGTTAACGTGCAAAATCTCGGAACTTACATCCTTGATAGAGAAAGTGAGAAGGTGGGGTACTCATTGATTAAGCGAGCCCCTAAAGTGTTCCTGAGCACATAGGTACCTTCAACAACAGACCTGAAGTAGATTCGGGGTTTGCTGTATGACACAAGCTAATCTTCATATGGACACTTAATCAAATACATGCAATGTTTTGTCAGAGTGCGCTCAAACGAGAGAGGTCTCATTATGACAAACACAACAAACGAGATGGCCAGTCCCTGTAAGCGCGCCCGGCAAAGTGACGTCCTCACGCGTTATGTGACTTATGTCTGACTATGAACAAAGCTATCCTAAGACCACCACATTCTGTATCATTTACACAAGCATGTAGAATCTGGAAGTATATAAACGGCTTTAGAATCATTTAGCATGAATAGTAAAGTGCATCTTAGTTACTCCACAGACTAAGTAGGTTTAAATCAAGCATTGAACGAAATGAATAGAGAATTCAATCAAAACCCGGAGCTTGTGCCTCGACTCAAGCTGAATATCACGATATCTGGAGCGATCAATGTAGCCGGAACACCCTATAATCTCCACTTCTATGCTGGAGACCTGACAGAGGCTGAAGACTCTGTGCCTTCCTCACCAGCTGGAAAAGTTTTTGAAAGTTCAAACTCCTCGGAAGCGGGCGACCTATTTCTTTCGAAAGACGAGAGTTCTGGATTTTTCGATCTTCATAACAACCGACAAGAACAGCTACCGTCACGCTCAGGGACCACGACCAGGAATCCGCGTGGTCAAACTTATGTATATCCCAACAGGGCAGACTTTGAACCAACTCCCGGCATTCAACACCACCACTCGCACCAATCGCTTATAGAGACCCCTCAACTCGGCGCGGGTGTGTTTGGAAGCTTGGGTGCGTTCCTAGGATTCATGTCTCCGGTCTCCCGGGAAAGAGCCATTCCCCAAGGATCCCGGACGTTGACAAATGAAGACTATGAGAGGGATCCCGATTATGTTCAAGCGATGATTAATAGACACTTGTTTGAGAAACCTGCAAAGTGGCATTTAGTTTGGCAGGATCAGGATAATGGCAAAGATAATGACAAATTGGGTAATTTCTCTGGATCGTTGTACGCGAACGATAAACCCCATTGCCCTGGGATTGGCTGCGGCGGCACCGCCGGGATCAGAAGGTAGGAAGGGTCGAAGCGGTCGAAATGCTGATGACAGATTGAGGGACTGTGCGAAGAACCACTGGATCTGTGTAAGTCTCTCACTTGATCGAGGGATCAAAGCTGACAGGTTTAGCATAAATGTGGCCCCGATGGATGGAGAGATTACAAGGCGGAACCAACTTCGAACGTGGTCAGGAATGAGAAGAAGTGTACAAGATGCTCCCATGAGCACTGCAAGCAGTGCCCCGATCGTGGCAACTTGGGATTTTACTATGTGAAGGAAGCCATGAAGAAATTCCCGGAGAAGTGGGCTTGAGCGCTTGTTGTTCATCTACAGGCATAGTGAGATAGGTGGAAGATTGCGATGATTTGGAGTTTTGTTTTGATCAGAATGTATGACTTCACAACCTGGAATTTATCAGTGCCTGATCACGTATAATGAAGTAGGTATCAGAAGTAATCATTGGCAGCTCGTGATAACAAACATGTATGGATCACAGCTGTTTCGGGAACAGATGATTGCAAGGGAGCAGGCGTCGTTAAAGCTGGAAGTGACTGTTGTGCCACTTGTTGCACAAACGCCGCAAACGCACCGATATTACTCATTCCAATTCGTTGGTAGGGATGTAGATGCATGCATCAAACAGTACACGAGGGAATGACTTATACATAATTCTAATATAATTAATTAAGACTCCCGGGAACTTTGCGATGCCTATCAATACACCACCGAAAATTCTTCGTTCTCGATTTGTCCATCCCAACCAAAATGGAAATGACCCCAAAAGGCTACGTCCGCCCGAAGAAAGGCAACAAGCGCAATGATAGCGCACGCAGACCGTTTCCCCTTCCTCAAGATCAACAAGCCTTCCTCGAAGCTCTAGACTTCCGTGCGTTCCCACCACGCATGCCAACAGACCCAAGCTCACACCTTCACCGACCACCTCCTCGCTTCAACGAGTGGTCTCCATTTCCTAATGCTCCTTACGGAATAATGCCAGAAGAAGAAGTTCTTCGTGACAGATTCGCTCACATGGGCTTTGGGCCTGGTGCTGGTGCTGGACCTGCATATCCCCCTCCTCCGCCAATGATGGATCACTACCCTGGCCCAGAGCCGTCACACAGCAGCAAGGAAAGTGGATTTACTGTTTCCAGCAATGACTTTACAGATCGTAGAGTAGCTGCGAAGTATGTGTCTCATTTGATAAAGAATGGGAAGGAGAGTTGGGTTTTCAAAGTACCTGATGAAGATGATCGAAATGGAGGTGGTTCGGGTGAACCGATATCCCGGCCAGGAGATCATGGGATGAAAGAGCAGAAGTTCGGGGCAATGGGGTTTACTTCCAAAAAGGACGAGAAGAAACGTTAGGAGAATTTGTGCCATGAGAATTTTTGGGACGGAACGCTGGATGGATGTCTTCAATATTTTCCCAATTTCATGGAAATTCTTTAGATCAATTTTGTTCATGAGATTGGAAAAGAAATGCTAAGTCGTTTCGTTTCTTCTCAAGTTTGAGGAAGCCATCACATACACTTGAGACATCAACTCTAGAGGTAGAGACCCAAGGATCACTACCATTTCAGAGTATTGATGCCAAAAAATCAGGCAAGCTCATAAAATCGTAGACTTGAGCTCCCAATTTCAAGTCAAAAGGACCACCTTTGTCTTTTTTTTACAGGTAGCCACCTCATAGGGATACGACGAGCAAAGTAGCAAAGAACTATGAATAGCTGCTAGTCGAACTCTCTTCCAGCAAACAAATGAATACAATGATCACATGATGTCCATCTCGAGTCCGTTTGCAGCGTACCATCAAACAGGACGGACGACAACCAGTATAGTGCCAGTATATAAGTCGTCACACTTGAACACGACACTATGACTTTCAAACTATGCATACATTAATCACTGCCACAGAGCAATCGGACAAGGAGACTGTCAAAAGTAGCGCATATGAAAGATGTAAATCGCTTCTGAGAAACACTAGCTTCATTCGTTGCAACATCCAAGATGGAAGAGATTATGGAGCAACACTCCGATACACACAGCGACGAAGACTCTCAGTCTTTGTATGAAGGAGAAATGACTCCTTCACCTGGTCTCGATTCGACAGAAACGGATACTCCTGTCTATTTCAGCGGGTATACAGAGTGCAGAGTCAGAAGGAGTTCATCACTATACTCTCAACCACCAGGTGGCTGGGGATCAGACGATACACCCATAAATCTCAAACAACCTTTGAAGAGTCCAGAAGCACGTGCACGCGAAGCATATAATCCTAACCCCTCACCACGATTATTGCCTCGACCTCCGCCAAGTACTCCTGCGTTGTCCCGCTCTTCTCTCTCGTCTACAGGCTCTAGGATATCTTGTGGATTGGAGCACTTCGAGACAGCGCCACAAGATTCTTCGAGTATTAGCCGTTGTGAAGGTGCACCATCGATGAAAACGTATCATTTCGTGACGGAGATAATTGCGTCGGGGGCAGTTCCCTGGAGCTTCTATTGGCATACCCCTGGAAACGTGCAGCATTTTGGGGCGAGACATGATGAAGAAATGGACGCTGCGGGTGCCAACGGTGTAGATCTAAAGGCCTTCCTAGATTTGCTGAGGCGAATGCTGGTTAATGTTGCCCAAGATTCCGCAGCAAACGAGGCTGAAGACGAGATGGCAAGTGAGAGTGAGCAACATCGTGACGGCGATCCTGCTATTTGAGTGCAGAGGCAGCAGGGTGTGTTACTTGCAAATGACATAGTGTTCTTCGAGCCCGGTCGTAATCTTTGCATATCTGGAGCGTTCGAAGTGGTGCCGTGAGGGCGATATTATGTCTAATTTTTGGTATCTCGTACGATTGCAACCCCACCTTCAGCTTTTGCTTTTGGCCAACTTCCATATATGCGATATTCAAGATTGTGGCTTGAGAATAATAGTTTATCTGGCCCTTCTTACGACAAGTCTGATGCTGAGCCATCTTCGTCACTCTCGCTACTCTCACTTTCGACCTTCAGGGCAGGAGTGGGTTGTGGCCCTCTGACTTCTTCCTCTTCCTCCTCATCCCCACTGTCAGTTTCATCCTCTCTCGGCCTTTTTCCAGTTCTCCGATATGAGCCTCTCGCGCCACCCAATTTTTTCAACGGTTTCAGGAACCCGTCGACATGCACCGCGCCGCTCATCTCCTCATCGCTTGGCAAAATGTATTCATCAAGATCGTCCTTTGCGATCTTGTGTCCTAACATGAGGTGTCTCCTCAACGCGTCCTTATCACGGAATCCTTGAATTCTCCTCGGACAATTTTCTATGGAACAAAAGCAGGTCTGCTTCGATGGAGGCATACGTGCTTTTCGAATTGCCCTTGAGGTAGGCCGTTCGCTCTTGATCTGGACCTCAGAAAACTCCTCTGGCCTATCGCTCTCGTCACTTGAGCTAATCGAACTTTCCTCGTCGAAGTCCGGTATTTCCTCTGGCACATATCTCATCACAGAGTCGGGAATTTTCTCCATGAAAGGCATCTCAATAATGGTGCGCATCGTTATACCCTCTCCAAACAAATTTGCACATCGTCGAGTAGCTCTGGCAATAACATCTGGTGGAAAGCCAACTAAAGCTGCTGACGAGAGCACCTCGCTCCAATCTCGAGGATGCAACTTCTTCCGTCTTCGTGCAGATGTATCTGCAGAAGTCGCTCGGGTCCCAGGAGACTTGCTCGATTTTCTTGGAGATGGTGTGGGCGACTTCTCTGGCTTGGCCTCTATAGGAGGCGCAAATGGAGGCAGAGGTTTTTTCTGAATTTTCGCTATTCGAACTAGGTAATCCTGCTGGGATTCTCCATCAAGCCTGTTGTAAGCTTTGAGAGGACGGCCTAGATGAGTTGTCTTTGCACGAAACAGGCCATCTTCGTCCATTTCCTGGTCTGAGGGCATGCTTTGTGCCCGGGATCTATCAGGTAGGCTGGAAAACTTTCTCGGCCTCCCTCGAGGCCGTTTTGATATAGGGACAGAGCCCTCTTGCTCAGAATCGGCCTCTGATGAAGCCGAGGAGTAGGAAACCCTTCGACAGGCTTTTCGAGCATGATGTAGAGCCATGAGAACTTCGTCCAATTTTGATAGAGTATGGCGTATAGAAGGCCGTAGCAGTCCTCGAGATCTATCATCATCGGTAGAGACGACAGGTATGAGTGGTTCCTCCGATGGGGCCGCCGAGCCTTCCTTCACTACCACATCATTCTCATCTGATATCTCAGAGTCGAGCGAGTCTGAAGCCTCGTCATTATTGTGCCTTCCGTTGTTCTCCACAGTTGTTTGCTCCTCATCATCCTGTGCGCCTATCTCATCGTTTTCTTCTCTATTCGTAAATCTCTCCTTCGCGAACCTCAGAGTCAACCCAAGCAAAACATCTTCCAGCTCTGTGCTCGGCCGCTGTGTCTCTCTTCTCCTGAATGTATACTTCTCATCTGGATCTTCAGATCCAATCCTTTCACCCTCTCTTGGCACCTCATTCGGAGGCAAAGGCCACGCCGTCCAGTGTGTTGGCGGTTTGAATGTCTGGTCTTCGTCTGGGATGGCGGGGTATTCTTTCTTGACTTCCTGAAAATAGACATTTAGCACAATTCGCACGTTTCTACTTCAGCTTCTATCCAAGTACCTCTGGATTCTCCTCAAATTGTCGCGCTCGTCGTTTCAATGCATGCGCATTGTATAAGTGTATACTCAAATCCTCATTCCTAATCTGGTCGAGGCTAGCTGCCAATCCCCGTTCTTGTGCTGTCAATGATGCCCAAGTCGAAGGCGCACCTTGCCATCGGTTTGGACGCAGAGATTCGGAGTCTTCAGTATCCTCAGAGGCATCGGAATCAGGGATTGCGGGGTCGTCATCGTCCATGTTGGACGTTGTTTGATTTGCGACGAGGCTGAGGTTTTCTTTTCAAGGCTGAGCAGACGCTAGTTGGTCTATCACGTGGAGATGTCAATGATGCCGAAAATACTTGGTTACATCAGAGCCTTTGGAGTGTAATGATGTATACAATGCATAGGGCTGAGAATTAACCAATCATATTTCGAAATTTTAACATGACAGCTCGAATCTTGGGCCCCAAAACCGTTCACTTGCCCCCTTTCAGTAAGCGACACATGTCTAGAGTACAACGGCCTCAACTAGACTTGTTCCTCTCCACGAAGCATTTGTTATATACGGAATGATGCCAATCTTTGAATTTGCAGTGATCTTTTTTCGTATCAAATATGGATTACATGAAAGAAAGAAAATTACAGCCCATGTCGCCTCCGCCTCCTATCCCGGACAGGAGTTCGAAGCGCATAAATCGTAAACCTGCCAAACTGCCTCGTCCACAGAAACAATCCCACTCACCCATGAAGACATATCGCTATAGTTCTGGGTTCACCAATGCTCCCGAAGCATTCCCAACCGAAAACTCCTCTACCTCTAGCCTCAGCTTCATCGATTCTCCTGGAACATCCCCAACGCACACCTCGAATGTCGAGAACCTATTATCAGATGCCTTCGCACGTCCTCTCCATCAGCGAGAGCCTAGCGGTACGACCGCGACCTCGGGACTTAATTCCATTTTCGAAAATGCTTCCGCTCAAAGCCCTGAAACACCCAATACTCCCCTGACTTCAGCTGAACAGAGGCTTGCGCTTGACCAGGCGCACCAGCCGCCTATGGGGCCTAGGAGTGAATGCTTCCAATACCTTGTGGCCCCCGAACCAGAAGAAGACCATGAGCGATTCCCATTTCTCAGCAATCCCTTCAAAGGAAAAAAGGCGGCGCAATCAAACTCGTCCCCAGAGAAAGTCCAAAATCTGGGTCAGAAGCTAGTCGGCAAACTGAAGGGAGCCATCGAGTACCTTCATCACCTTGATGATGAGTTAGAAGAATGGACATGGCAGAATTATCGCAAACGCTTCGAAAAGAAAAAACAAGCTGAGGCGCGACGTGCGTCACTTGAACGTGCCAAGGCCATTGATCATGGGCATCGAGCACTAATCAAAACTCATCAAGAGAAAGAGAAGGCTAGAAATAAGAGGGCCAAGGTACAACTGAAAGCTCAGAATAAGGAGCTCAGAGAGTCAGCTAAGAGAAGAAATAAAGCTGCTAAAGGAAATGCGCGTGACACTGAGGTGGTAGAGCAAGAAGACCAACGAATCAGTGAAGACAGACAGCGTTTGATTGGAGGTCGACTTGCTGAGAATAACCAATACACCGAGACGCAGGTAACTGAGCACGAGATAGTTGGTACTTCTAGTGATGATAACTTTTCGGAAAGTGAAGGGGAATCTTTTGGAGACTGGGACGAAGACTATACCTTCATCCAGGGCGCAGAAGAGTATGATCCCAAGCACTGTGGCCGTGCAGTTGGGGATTGAAAGGCACATTTGTAAGGTGAGGCATCTGTGTCATAGTCAATATATCAAAGTTGCATTTTTTATCATCATCATATTTGCCGTATTTCCTTGCCCTTCATTTCCGGTCTTTCCACTTCCCACTCGTCCCTCAGGACGGCGAATAATGCGTCCGCGACTAGGACACTCAAGCCGAGACTCCACACCAGGGTTATAGCATAAAAGAAATTTGCATTTCCACTGCCTGCATAGATCCACAGATAATAGAATGCAGGACCTAAGAGCGTTGCATATAGGATGGTGGAGGATGCCAAGAAGGTGTATCTCATGAGTGGAAATACGTGCCTATAAAGGGGTAAGACGGCGAGGAAGAGTGAGGTGTCGGAGATCGATGGGTAGGGCTTGAAGATTGCAAATATCCCTAAAAGGATGGTAATGACAAACAGTGGCTGACGTCGGAGGCGAATGGTCAATCCCGCTACGTAAGATGAGAGATGGATCCAGAAGACGCCTAGGAAGAAGTTCCGGAATGAGTCGAACATTTCGATAAAGAAATACCACCAAAGACCAACGTTGGGGGTAAGATCTGGAAGCAAGAGTTGTACGCCGTAAGTAGAAAACAGGAACTCCCATGAGCCTGTGATCAAGAAAGACATATGTAGCAGCGAGTACAGGGAACCAGCAACGGCCATTGCATTCCCAAAGACGAAGTTGTAGACTGATTCGTGGCCCTTCATAGGCTTCTTTCGATCGTAGCATAGCAGTGCCAATGGTGGGAAAAGGAGAATCGGGTACATGGAAAGGTAAGAAGCGAAGGATAACGCGAACATCGAGGTGAAAGAATTGCCGGCAACCGCTTTCGAGATTGCGTGTAGTATTGCGCAAGTCGTAAAGACACTAGTAGGCCGGCCTATGCAAGTTGCAATAGTGAAGGGATTGAAGAGGAATCTGTCAAATATGTCAGGTCCAGTTCCATTCTTGCTAGCAGACAACTTACGCTGCGGCAATAGCAAAGTTACTCCATCTTTTCTCCTTCCGTGGTGATGTATACAGCTTAGAAGATCCTGCTTCACCAGAGTCTGCTATCTGCATGAGAGCATTGGCACTCAAAAGGTCCACGAGAATGTAGAGGAGATAAGTGAAGGCGGGGTATGTCGAAGAGCTTGGTAGCAAGGCGAACAAGGGAAGGAGAAGAGGAGCTTGGTGATATACACCACCATCGTATGGGGAAACGTTATGATTGTATAGGTACAAGCCTTCTTGTACTATTTCCTATTAGATGAAGGCTCTCCACCACTGTCCGCAAGACCACTTACATCTCTTAAAGCTGGTCACAGGTGTTGATATTTCGACTCGAGCTGTAAGGAGATCTGGTAGACCTGGGAAGCCAGTGAAGAGGAGCAAACGAATTACGACGGCGGCGCCAAACAATGTGGCTTTCCGCCTGTCAACATCCATGGCGAACATAATACGAGAATGCGATTGCAATCAATTTCCTACAGCTCCAGAAAGTTTGTCCTCGAGCTTTGAATCTCTTTGAACCGTGTCTCTGCGCGTAAAGTTTGATTGGTTGCCAAGATCGGAGTGGGTCTCTTGAAGTTCCGCGCGCTAGTAAAAAAGTTTAGATATTTTTGAGAAGCAACCCCACGGTGAGGACTTATTTTACGACACAATTGACGACCAGATCAATCACAATGGGACGAATTAAGAAGAAGGGAGTCACTGGCCAGGCCAAGAACTTCATTACCAGAACCCAAGCCGTACGAAAACTCCAAATCAGTCTCCCCGATTTTCGAAAACTCTGCATATGGAAGGGCATATATCCTCGAGAGCCACGGAATAGAAAGAAGGCAGCCAAGAACTCGAGCCATTCGACGACTTTCTACTACACGAAAGATATCCAATATCTGCTTCACGAACCACTCCTCCAGAAGTTCCGCGATCAAAAGGCGCTCGAGAAGAAGATCTCCAAAGCCCTAGGAAGAGGGGATGCGCACGACGCACAAAGACTCGAACGAAATGCGAACCGGCCTGAGAAGACGGGAAAGACAAAATATACGCTCGACCATGTCATCCGAGAACGATATCCTACTTTTGTCGATGCGCTGCGAGATCTCGATGACTGCCTGTCCATGCTGTTCCTTTTCGCAAACCTCCCGTCCACAGATACCGTTCCTGCAAAAATGATCGCAAGATGCGAGCGATTATGTCTTGAGTTTGAACACTACTTAATTGTGTCACACAGCCTGCGAAAGTCGTTCTTGTCGATCAAAGGCATTTACTATCAAGCTACGATTCAAGGCCAAGATATCCTGTGGTTGGTACCTTATAGGTTCAACCAAAGAGTGACTGGGGACGTGGACTTCAGGATCATGGGGACATTTGTGGAATTCTACCAAACACTGCTTGGCTTCGTCAACTTCAGACTTTACACCTCAATAGGTCTGGTATACCCACCAAAGTTTGATCAGACTCGTGATGATCTTGGCGCTGAATTGGGAGCGTTTTCTTTGGAAGGCAATGGGATCGGTGCGATTGAGCAACCAAAGCAGATCACAAATGGGAAGACAGCAAAGCCAGATCCGAAGCTACAGAAGGAGATCGACAAACTCATGTTACGATTGAACGAACCTGAGAAGGAAGCACAGGAACCGGCAACCAGTCAAACTTTGGCAGCGGAAGATGAAGACGAGGAAGAAGAGCCGACAGAGACAATTGATAAGTTCGAGCCAGCAGCACCCGGTGGAGATATTTTACTGCAGCCCTCGTACTCCGCCACCGATCCTTCAACCCTCTTCTCAAACTTTACCTTCTTCCTCTCTCGAGAAACTCCCAGACAACCCCTTGAATTTATCCTCCGAGCGTTTGGCTGTAAACGAATTGGCTGGGACGCTGTCCTTGGTGATGGCGCATTCACAACCAATGAGCTTGATCCATCAATTACCCATCAAGTCGTGGACAGACCACCGATCCAGCTCCCTTCTGACGCTGAAGAAGAAACTGAAGATAACCAGACTTCACAACGTATCAGGCCAGGAGCCCGAGTGCCCGGTCGAACATACGTTCAGCCACAATGGGTCTGGGACAGTGTTAATGATGAGGAGCTCAAGAGACCGGATATCTATGCTCCTGGCGCCTCACTCCCACCACATCTTAGTCCCTTTGTAAAGAAAGTCAGAGGCCAATACGATCCAACTGCTCCTCTCAACGAACAAGAACGCGAGGACGAAGAGTTGGAGGTTGATAGTGATGCTGAGTCTGATGCATCAGACGATGATCTTGCTGTACAAGCTCCCAAATTGTTAACAATTGAGGAAGTCGACGCAACTGCCGAAGGTATGGATGTGGCTGGGTCTGATGACGATGGTTCCGACGATGCCGAGGAAGATGTTGAGTTTGGCGGATTTTCTGATGCTGACGAGGAAGAAGAGGATGAAGGTGTATCCGAGGCTTTACAGAGACAGCGCGAACTAGAAGCTGAAGCTACTGGAGTTCAACTAGAAGAAAAGGAGGTCGATCCAAGAGCTAAGGCTAAGGTCGATGCGCGAAAGAAAGCAGCGAAGAAGGCTAAGGAAGAGGAAGAGGAGTTGGAGAGAGCAAAGATGATGATGAGCAGGAAGTCGAGAAAGGTCCTTGAGAAAATGACTTATAGCAACAAGCGAAAGGATGTCGAGGCGGAGAAGTTAAGAGCCAAGAGGAGAAAAATCGAGAAGTCAGGGAAAGGAGCTCGAGATGTCTAAACTGGCGTAGTATTAAAAGTGTGGCGTTGGAGGATATCTATTGAGCGTTTCGTGGGCTGGCATTATAAAATGCTTAGAAAGATAGTTCACTATCAAATTCTATGTGCTCTTTGTACTGTACCATGAAATTCGTATGGCAGTCATTGTGAAACTCGAAGTACCGGTGGTACCTGGAGACTTGGCTACGGTCGGGAGCCGAGAATTTACCGGGATGTTTAGGCGCGTTCAACCAACACGCATCTCGATGTCACTGGGAGCAAGTTTCTCTTCCTTGAACAATGCATGTGATTGAATAATAATACTCTCAACCGAACTAGCAATCACGAATCCTTCTCTTCCCAACATGACCTGATGAAGTCCTGGCTTGAAGAGTGCTTCACGCCTTGCGCTCTTCAGCGATAACAATGACATCGAACCAAAATGCGCCACTCGACAATAGGCAAAGTAGAGATATATCTGCCAGCTCACCAATCGATCGACGCACGAACTCAAGCACCTTGTCTACAGGGACGAACAGATTCAGTGTTGGTAGCAATAAGACGGGCGAGTCGAGCACTGCTGCCAGTCAGCGGAGCAGCTTCATAACGGGTGGTATGGTAGATGGGTTCGTTGACGGCGCCGACGAGCAGCTTGCTTCCGATAATCACAAGGCCGTAAGAGAGAGCAGAGCCAGTCATAGGAGTCAGAAGAGCAGAGGCAGTGGAGGGTTTCTGCTGAACAATTCCGTATTCGAAGCTCCTGCACAGCCACCGGCGAATTCAACAGTCACACCCTCCGAATCTACACACCGGCACTCTACTCAAGAACCAAAGGGCAAGAGTTCTCTACGAAGTCCAGAAAAGAGGCATGGTAAACGACGGTCGAATGTTGGTTCTGGAATTGGAGGCAGTCCGCTGGCGGCGAATGTCATCAACGCTGGCACAGGTAATGGTACGGCCACAGATCAAACGAAGGCCGGTATTGAAGGGCAAAATTATACCGCAGGAAGCAGACAAGCAAGCTCTGGGTTGGATGTCGATTCTGCACAGATTGTCAATCTCGCCTTGAATCTGAGCGAGAGCAGGCGTAATGCGTCGAGAAGGATTATATCGACACCCCTTCCCCCTGCTCCAGGAATTAGAGAGAGTTTTGTGGGTGGCAGTCTACGACAACATCTTCAACAGCAGAGGCGAGTATCGAGAAATGTCTCTCCAAAGCCGGACCGGGGGCAAAGGGCCATGACAGCTTCCCCACGTATTGCTGGACAGGGGACTGGAAGTCCATTACAATCTGCATTTGACTCTCACTCTGATGGTCAATACCAGTATCACTTCTCCGCTTCAACTCTTGCTCGTGCAGAGAAAGCTAAGAATGCCATTGAATTGATGGCGCAGTATCGGAGGTTATTGCAGTATGTTCCGCCGCTCAAGCCCGTACCCTCAAACTCCAGAGCCATCACTCCCGAGTCGCCAGGGACTTCTATGCATATCCCATCTCGCTCTGTCTCGTCAACAAACCCATTGGTCCAACCTCTTGGAAGACAATACAATCCATTACAATATATAAGGAATCGCAAAGTACGAGCTAGAAATTCCAGGGCTATTGACGGGGAAGCTCAGGGCTTTGGAGATCTTGAGAAAGTCTCGTCCTGGGTAGATGCTGTGACCCAGCAGGCATCCTTGGATGAGTTCCAAGCGGCTGATGCTACTTTGCCCCCTTTCTCGAAAGCTGCAGAGGATGCAGCTTCGCCACATGCATCACCCAACTCCCATATTGGCAAAGGTCACAACACACCTGCAAAGATCAAAAGGCCTAGAGTAGACTGGATGGTTAGTCCAGCAGACCTGATTGCTGATGTATTCTGGCTCGAGCAAGACGACAACAGGAGAATGGTCGAGGATCGCAATGGCAGGCCAATTTTTCCACAAAGTACGGATCTGAAGAGGCCAATGTCACGTCGGTGTGATGGTTTTGAGCCTAAAAAGTCACCACTACCAGCCAAGGCCGAAGACCTTGGAATCGATCTCCGAATTGATACCAAACTGCCAGAGTTCAAGTCTGTGAAGCCTGCCTCGGAGCACTTTTCTGATTCCACTACTTCTAGGGCTCGTCGTAAACTTCACGATGTCAGGGAATCTACACGATTTCATCATGGACATAATGGCTCTGCTCGTGATTCTCGATTGCGGCTTCGCTCGCACAGCAGGTCGGATTCTAGTTCATCGGAGAGTGATATTCATCGCGCTCCACGCAGGCGCAGTGGTACTGCTGAAAGTACTGATCGAACTAAAGACATTCTTGAGAAACAAATGATGGAGATGCTTGCCAGAGAAGAAAAGGAGTCTGGGCGTGATAATCAAAATCTACATAGCAAGTCTCGTCAAGGGTCAGAAGAGAACCAGAAACCTTCGCCGAAGGACGAGCTCGAAAAGGTCTCGAACGGCAAGGCTTCCCACAGCAGATCAGAATCTCTGGTCAAAGATAAGCATGAGTCTCTTAGAGGTGGCTCTTCAGGGCGAGCGAGTCTCGAAGTGCCTGGTACCCATCCCAGAAGCTCTTTGGAAGATCTTAACACCACTGCCCCAAACTCACCAGTATCGAAAGCCACCAGGATCAAAAATGCTTTTATTCCCAGCATTGGTATGGATCTCTCATCACGCAAAACCAGACAAAGCTCTCCAGTCCGGAAGCCACTCGCTAGAATGCGGTCCAAGGTCAGGCCTTTTTATGACAGAGACCATCCTAGCCATGAGCAAGCTGATGACGATGAAATGCTTTTTGGTGTGTCCTCTTCAAGTAAGGACCATGCTCGGGAATCTCCTGAAACGCCAGATCCAAGACGACGATCGATGAGCCCTGTGAAAAAGATTTCATCGAGAGCCACTGACGATGGCAACTCCCTCAAGAAGACTGCCAGCATCCGTAAAGGAAAAGGTGAAGATTCTGGTATCCGAGGATTGTTCAAAGCTCGGAATCCCGTGTCAAGAGTCAGTGATCTTCTTTTCAAGAAGGAACCTTCCGCGATGGGGACCTCCTCCGGATTCTCAACCGATGAATCCGACGTCGAGGATGCCCGGTTGAAAGGAGATAGCAAGGGATCGCGTGACAGCTCTGCCGGGTTACCTCTCGATGATTACGAAGCAGCTTCTCCGCAGAAAGAACGATCATCGTACTTGAGGAATGTCCCGGTTCTGCCGACTTTCACTTCGCCGTTTGAGCGTCGGGGTAGATCGACCCGTGCCAAAGTCAATGAGATGTCTCCTGAACCAGAGTCGTCGACGAGTGACAAACGCTCTCGAATTGGGCGAAAGGTTGACGCTCCACGCATTGATGTACAAAATGCGTCCCCAACATCGTCCCCAGATTCTCATCCAAATCGACGATATGACAGGGACTCGTCAGTCTCAGACATTGACTCCCGGCGAGGCAGTATGTCCAACGGCGTTCAGATGGCAGATGCTAGATTAAATTCGATCCTAGGCTTACCTGGCAAGCGTCGGAATGCACTTCCAATAACGGGTCTTTCGAACCTCGAGACAAGTTACGACACTAGACCATCACTCGAAGGAAAACGACAATGGTCAATTTCTGATAGGGACATGTCCTCGCAACGTGGCCCGATGACAAAACGAGAGATAGCCCGCGTTCGAGCCCTCTTACTCTCCTCGGGTATTAAAGCCAAAGAGATATCGCGCCGAGCCGCTGAACCAAAAGACTTGAAGAAACCAGACGAGTCAGCCTACAATAATCTCGCTAATTTAGCAAAGCACCCTCCACCGCCAGTGCCAAAGAGCCAAGAACACAGGCTCGCTGCAAGGATAATATCAGACAACATTCAACTCTCTTCTCAGCTGTGGCGAGAGTCGGCGGACACGTTTGTGAATGAGACTGTGGCTACACTCATTGAGAATATTGCAAATCTCCAGCATCGCTTAGTCGACAATCTCACCCCGATGACCAGAACAGCTGCCGACGAAGCAGATGAGGTTTCCAAAGATCTGGTGACGAGTCAAACGCTCAAAGTGAAGCGAATCACTGACACGATCGACAAGATGACCAGGAGACGCAGACGGCGCTTTAGATGGCTGCGAAGAGGCGGCTGGGTGCTTGTAGAGTGGGCGCTCGTTGGCATCATGTGGTACGTCTGGTTCATGGTTGTGATTGCTAGGGTGGTCATGGGTGTTGGGAGAGGAGTCGTGGGAGGATTGAGGTGGTTGTTCTGGTTGAGTTGAGGCATGGATATGGAATTGAGCGGTGGCGAAAAGTCATTATTCGTTGTATAGGAATTGGTTGGGAAAGCAGCTTTGATACCCAATTAGTAATGTTAATGTTTTTGCTGAGATGTAGAGAGCCATTCTTGGATGTCACTGATGTATGATCTGAAAGGCCGAGTGGCTACTCAATGTTGGATCACTTGCAAGTGCAAATGAATTATGTTTGTGGTTTCCTAGATTATCGGGAGAGGCATGATCTCACTTGTCACTAATGAAGCAAACAACCATCCTATATAGGATTATATCTTCCTCTTCGGCGAAGAGTCTTCACCTATGTCATCCTGTTACTAGCAGAATAGGCGTCGAGTCTACGGTATATCTACATACCGTAGCTATTATATCCAGAGCAAATCAAATCAGCGGTGTTGTGAACATCCTTGGCTGTTCTATATCATTATCAGAACCTCAACCTTCTCAAAGGTCCCGCAAATGGGTGGTCTTCTCTTCCTTTCCGTTGCAATGCCAGTCAGGATCATGTCACTCGCCTCGTTTCACCTGAGAGGCGTCTAGAGAGAAATATTTGCCATCGTGGTAGCTTTAGTCTGAAGACTTCGGAGTATAGGAAGTGCTAGTGCACAACTTTCCTAGTGGTTCGTGGCAGCTAGTGTACAAGCGCTTTCATACAGTCTCGGCAAGTCTACTTCTTATGGATTGAGCGCATCTGGAGAACATTTGACAAGCATCATCCTCTTTGCGCAACCTCTACTCCTGCGTACTATTGTCGACAAAGAACATTCAGGAATACGACGGGAAGAGCACACATTTCGAGCGCAACTCCCCACTGATAGAGTGCATCAACGTCGGAAGTTTTGGGTATCCTAAGATCCTCAAAGAATTCATCATGAATACTTCGCAACCCTCCACCCCATCAGTCAATCGTAGACGTTCATCTCCATCTTTGAAGGTATGTCCCAATCATTCCGCAAGCATTCTGCGATACTGACACTAACCTTCCTCAAGAGATACAACCTATTTGAACGATTAAGTCGATCAACATGCTCTCCATCATCACCATGTCGCAGACATAGCCAACCCGTCGCCCTACTTCCTCCCCATCCTCCTCGATCTCCAATTGTCAATGAAACTCCTTCCGTTCAGCCAGCAAATAATTGCATCCCTGACCACGATACCTTCGACGAACATACGCCAAAGTCGAGTGTCCTCAATCCTAACAACTGTGCCTTCGCGTACTCTCCCCTGAGCCCACAACACTTCATCAAGACCCCACTCTACATGTCCTTTCGAGAAAGCGGAATCCCATTACGAATTGGATCATTGACCTCATTGCCACGTCTGGTGAAACACCAAGAACTCGCGCCAACAGGCATGCTCACTCCTCCAACTACTCCGCCAGCTACTCCAACTGGTCTTGACAATAAGGATTGGAGTTGGGCAGTCGCTGAGGATACCAACTCCTGGGGCCCAGCAATCGCAATTGAGCTACCCGACGAAAACATCGGAGTCCCAAAAGTTATCGTACACAGTGTTCTTCCCGAGATTGACTCTCGATTCAGCTACTCGGTTCTTGATGACACCGATGCTATTCTCATCAACACTACTGCATCACTAGAAGACTTCTTAGAGATGTTTGATGAGATTGAGGAGGGCCGTGTGTCTCTTTTCATTGACCTGGAAGGTTTTCAGCATGGTCGCAATGGAACACTGTCAACGATTCAGTTTACATTCGCTCACCAGCCTGACGTGACCTATGTCGTTGACATCCTTGTTCTTCGAGAGAGGGTATTTGGAACAGTTGGCGAGCACAAGAAATCCATCCAAGTTATTCTCGAAGATCCAGAAATTTACAAGGTTCTTTTCGATGCTCGCCAAGATAGCGCAGCTTTGTATTGGGAATGGGATGTCAAGCTCGCTGGCATCATTGATGTTCAATTGATGGAGCTCGCCGATCGTGGTCGTCGTCGGAGATATCTCTCCAGCCTCGAAAAGTGCATCAAGAAGTACGTCGAGCTCACTCCGGAGGAATCTGAGGCCTGGTCCGCTACCAAGCACGCTTGTAGGAAGTACTCCGCGAACGAGTACGGCTTGGAATGGTCTCTTCGCCCGATGCCCGAATATAGGTTGGATTGGATCCTTCGCCCCATGCCAGAGATCTTGTTGAGATACGCTGCCAATGATACTACGTTTATGCCCGCTCTCTATGATGCACTGCAATACAACTTGGAGGGTGCAGGTCTAGAATACTTGAATAGCCTCGTCTTATCGGAGACTGCGAGGAGAATCCATGACTCGCAAAACCCCGAGCCTTTTTCAACCTCAGCAGTCTCGCCATGGGAATTCTCTAAGTTTGATCATGATGATTACTACTATAATAATTACTAGGGTAGGTATTTCAACTTGAACTTTACGGTACATCGACGGCAGGTGCATTTTCAGCGAATTTGACGTTGGTCTTTATTGGGAATTGGAATCTTTTGGGCTAGGATGGGTCGAGATCTCCATGTGAACTCATTCTCTGCTTTTGGAAGCCTAATTTGATTGCGCCGGGGGATGATTGGGGACTTTCACTGCCATCTTCTGCCTTGCGCCCTAAATATTCCAGTCCACGCTGTCCCACTCGTTTCCTTCTTCTGCGGAAGGCCAGGCATGGTCATCTTCGGTCATTTTCTTTTGTCTTTTTGCAATTTAGTTACTTAGATGGCTTCTGCAGCAAATTCTAGGCGCCAAAAATGAAGTACATCTCCTGAAACCTTCAGCCACACTTCTGATATTAACAGTTTGCGGTACTCATCACAGCCTAGTATGATCTGTAGATTCTAGATCTCCAATCAAGTTCGTAAATTCATCTGTGTCAAGATACATGTATATATATAATTCATTTCAACTACCACTTATTTCCTCTATATTTGAATCTCCATTATGCACCCTTACGTGCCAAACACCAGATCGAAAATAATCCCTACTTTGCATTTCGTATTCGTCAAGCCTCATCAGCAGATATCTACCTAGCATTCCAATATACCTCCCTCGGTTTCAGATCAGCTGCTCCAGAGGGAACAGAGCATGAGCAACGTGAGAGAGCACACAACAATCGAGTGGGAAGTCCACCCAAATCATCCTCAAAGATCCAAATATCTTCAAAGGCATCTTCAAGTTCCGCCAAGTCAGTGCCGCTCTTCATGGACAGTGGGGAGTCGTGCTTGCTGGAGCAATCGATATCCAGCTTTTGGAACTTGCTCGCCGTCGAGGATATAGGCGATATCTCTGGAGTTTAGAGAAATGTATCGCAAATTATGCCGACTTGAGCGACGAGGAGTTCGAATCGTGGTTATTCATTAAGAATGCTGGGAGAGGTGTCTGCGAGAACAATCGTTGGTGGATGTGGACCGTTCGCCCTCTCCCGCAAGTCTTGTTTGAATACGCGGCGAACGACACCATTCACATGCCGACGTTATACAATACCTGGCAGAAAAAATTTGTCGGGAAGAAATCTTCAACCACGAAGATACTCTCTGAGAACATGAAGCGGATCAGGGAGTCCCAAATTCCAAATTTCATTACCTCGCGTCAGTACGCACCGAACTCGTTTGAGTTCATAGACGACTTGACCGATATCAAGGACGACGACGATGACTATTTTGAGGCAGAATAGCAAAGTACTGTAGGTTCTCCATTCTTTATCTTTCCATATCACAGTATAGCTCATCGTTTACATCTAGCATTTAATCTTCTCGATACAAAAGGTCGTCTCTATCTGGGACCTGTTGCGAGGAGCTTTTCAGGCATACACAGCTCGTTGGTTCAGGGTAGTGTTTCTTGGCTGGTCTGGGCTATCAGGAAACTTTTGCTGTTGAGGGAGTCTTGGATCGTTTTTGGATTGGGATAATCATAGAACATGGATTTTGAATTCCAAATTGCCAAACTTTCTACACGCAAATAATTCATTCAACCTTTGCTTTTCGACATTGAGGTGTTGTTATCATGTTTCACGTGACGAGTCTCGCTACCCCTTACCCGAGCTCAAGTGATCTCCTATTAATTTCTAGAAGAAGAAAACTGTGTGGCGCTGCGGAGGAAAGTTTAACATTGTGTTGTGTTTGGTTCCATATCGTAAGATCTGATGGCAAGGCACTGTACACCCAATTTCAAAACTCTATCCAGAGGCAAACTTATCTCAAGAATTCCTATCCCCTCTTTAAATTCAGTGGTCAGTATTTTATAGGCAATTTCTCCCTTCGCATCACAACAATCTCAAGGCACAGCAGCATTTATGTCATAGAACTCCCAATTTAGTAACACCTCAACTAATGACAACTAGTCTGACTTTAACTTCTATCAAACAATGATTTTCCTAAATACTTAAACCGTTGGGCCAACAGGAGCGGTACTGGAGGCAATATGGCATTGGTGAGCTTGAAGGATTAGCATAACTTTTGAACTGTTAGATGAGGCCTTACCTGTCCGAGGACCATAGCTCAATGGATACTCAATACCGCTATGGATAACTCCCTGTGCAACATCAGCAAATACTTCTGGAATGGTAACTGCAATTGGAGCAATTACCCAATTGTTCCAGACGACCATATCACCCTCTTCGACTCGAGGAACCAGTATATATTCGGTTTTGGCGATACGATCAAGCAATCCATTTAGCCAGACTCGAATTTCTTCCTCGTCTTCCACCGTCCTCTGAACTCCGTTTGGTGTCTCCTTGAGGAAGACCTTGCGTACAACCTCGGCCATGATTTGTAACGACTTTTCTCCTGTGACAGGATTAAGCCATACCATCGGGTATTTATGAACCTTATCCGATGTCCACTCGGGAAGCTCGTCGAGTGGTATTGTCTTACCACCAGAAGCTAATCCAAGCCCGCCAGAGCGGATCTTCCGAGAGCCTGACCAGGCGAAAGGATAGGGTGCAGGCTCCCAAAAGCTGTTGTCAACCATCATCTTTTCATTGTCCGTCAATAGGCTGTACAATTGAGCACCGCTGATAAAAGCCGTACATCCTGGTTGGCATTGCATCACTCTCTCAGTTCCTGCATCATCCCATCGAATTGTTAGGTCAGGGCCTTGAGGAAGTTTGACGCATCGAAATGTTGTTATGCGAGAAGGATGTGCTCCATAGATGATCCCATCGAAATGGAATATGTTGAATCGGGCCTGTCCATTCTCGAAATCCTCTGCAGAGAGAGGGTCATCGTGGTAGTCGACATGGCTCATAGCTTTGAGCGTGACATTCTCCAGTCCATAGTGATTTTCTCCTTGATATCCATTGCCAACAATTGTCACACCTCCAGAACCAGGAATAACATAGAAAGGATTCTTCTGAAACAGGAAGTTAGATTGCCATCAATTGAAGCTCGACGAGGTTGGATCTCACTCCTAGAGCTTCGCCAAGCTCTTTTGCCCCTTTACCCTTTCCACCAAAACCATGCTTTGGAGTAGCTTCGGGATCGAATCGTCTGACCAGCTCGAACTGTTTAGCTGGCTGAAGACCATGTTGGTCTTTTATGACGACAACGCTGTGTCTATACACTGCTTCTCGCAGTGCTTGGAAAGACTCTTCGTCCAAGTTGTTCAGATCTACGCCTGTGATAGTAGCTCCGAACTGTTATATCAGCAGTAGATCAAAATGATGGCTTGAAAGTCTTCATACATTTCTCCTTTTCTCCTCATTGGCAAAGGGAGTGACTACAATCTCGGCTTTCGTCTGATGAGGCATTTTCAAAGTGCACTCTCTTGAGATGGATATGGATTAGAGAAAAGAGTAAGATCAGTCTAACCAAGTTGTTATGTCAACTAAATTTTACCAGATTTCTTGGGGATAGACTGATAACGAGGCGCTCTCAACACAGCTCGGGCACGATATATCATGAATGAATTACATTATTCAACCAAGAATTCCCATCAAACCTGGAAGAATGGCTCTACTTGACCCCACCTTCCAATATACGACCAGGGTGAGATGATTTGCGGCGGATGCGGAGAGATAACGGTCTTATCAGTGTCCCATTTATGCAGCGAAAACGTAGCTAAACAAAATGAAGAGCTTTAGAACAACAACTTCAGTTGCCGAAATCACATACTTGAATTAATTTTGAAGCCTGTAGAAGATAGAACTCCTACGCAAGATAGGTATGTTGGTGGAGAGGGGTGGAAAAGGGAGCGAGAACAGGTATTTGCCTTCAACTGTGAGGACGAATGAAGCAATACAGTAAAGACAAGCAAAATAGATCCTCAGATGTTGCTGGATTCTCCAAAACGTTTGTTCAAGTTCGTCACAAGCTCAGAAAGTCTTGTCTTGTGGGAAAATGAGCAGGTGAGGTGTCTGGACAATGTACTGTACGCGCTAGCGAAGACGCGAGGTTTCGTGATGGGATCGCGTCCACCTTCCAGCCACTTCAATTGACCTTCCACAACCTCTTCGCAATCAGCCTCACAACAACTCCATTCAGTTTCTTGTCGACACGCTACAATTGAGCCTCACCTCCATCAACAGCAATAATGGTCCTCAAAAGAAAGCGCTCCGACTCGGACATGTCCTCGGCCAGCTCGCTCCTCTCCTCACCCCTCTCATCGAAAATCATGCCAATCGACCAGTTTCAATCATATCCAAATCGTATCCCGACACCTTCTCTCTTTCCATCACGGACGCGAAAGCGCCACCGCGACAACAGGCCCTCAGAGGCTGAAGTCCACCGTATGCTGCCCCTCTCCTTCGTGGCAGATGCTATGACATTAACATCATCTGCAGAACACACATTATCCCTCCTTTTCTCTGCTCAGCAATCTCCTCAACCAGAATTGCAACCACCATCTGCATTCCCATCACAAGAACCGATATCCTCACTGCCAACAACCAGTCAATCAAGACAACAATCGAGCCTGCATTCATTCTGGGCAATTCCATCAACACGACAATCATCTCCATCAAGCAATTCATCCACTTCCGCACCATATGCTCCAGCCCCAGCTTCATCTCTAAGTAACGTCTTCGAGGTGTCCAATTGTGAGGATTGCAATGCAGCATTAAACCCGACAGGGGACTCGGATGCAATGGATGTGGACATGATGATGGACATTGATATGAATGGTGGGAACCATGCGTGCACAAGCTGTGGCAAACAAGTCTGTCATAGTTGCGCAGTGAGCAATCTGGGTGCGGAGAGGAAATGTCTGAATTGCGCTGGGAGGAAACAAGTTTGGGTTGGAGGCCTGGGATGGATGGATCAGGAATAGGATGCACGGATTTCACAATTGTTGGAGTAATGGTTGAATTGGGATATGGAGTCTGGATGAAAGCGCAGGGCGTTGTCAGGAATCACTGGCATGGCTTTCACTGTCTATATGGATGAAAGACATAATACAAGTTTGATTTCCCAGCCTCAGGGCAAGTTTCGTTATCGTGCTAAATGATTGGGGACAGCGCTTCTTGAGGACGGCAATAGGTGCGGGCAGCAATAATTGCAGACAGCAGCAATCGAAGACAGCAATGATTAAGGGCAGTTCACGATTTGCCTTTTGAGAAGTTAGCACGGCGATGCAATGGCCCTCTCCATGCGCGAGGCTCTCACCGAGAAACCCAAGGCTTAGACCCCTGCCAGTGCAGGCTGAGCAACTTTTTGAACGCCACATAAGAAAGCTGTTCCCTTCGGTTTTTTCTTTCGATAATCTGGTTCCATTGTCTGTGTTTTCGAATAGCAAGGAAATATGGGGAATGCTCGACCACAACGTCGAGATCTTGAGTATGGGTATCCAACCATAGAGCAAGGCATCCAATCCGGCCAAGTGAGCAAATGCGACAGCCTCGAGATTTTACGTTATGGTTCAGAGTTCCGACATTCAAATGAAAGGCTCGATGGAACGTCGTTAAGCGCATGGCTTTCCAAGGTAGCCGTACCTCATATATTTTCAAAAGCGGCATACTCATAGTCTCAGACATTTCCCACAGCAGAAACCACCGCAGACGACTTTAGAGGGGGATTGAGACTCTTGTAAGTTACGCTCGATGATTTCATCATAGATTTTGATGGAATAGAGTGGGTGTGTGCAGATTAGAACCACTTTCAGGCAAACTTCTGTTGCCGTTCACGAAAGACGACTTTGAGTTCATCAGCCAGCGTTTGCAGCTCCCGGAGCAGTTCTCCCAGTCGATGCAAGCGCGGATACCATGCGCATACAAGTTTACCTCTCCAACCAACGTGGTAGGGAAGGCGTCAGAGCCTGTCATATGTCAGTGCTCTCATATTCGAGTATCGACAACCTACTCATATGTTGCACAGGCTATATCTTCAAATTCGGTATCCACCGACCCTCCTACTACCATCTCGTCATTAGCTACTGCCCCTCCACCAATATTACTCACGCTCTCTTACTCTCCAAAACATCGGACCACACATTCGAGTCCATCTTTCGCCGAATTGAGCTATTTAAACAGCACATAACCCACCCCTTCCTCCTCCCCGTCCTACTCTCAGAAATCTGTCTCGTCTCCTCCGAAAACCGCGTCCAACTATCCGACGACCGCCTCAACGGCCTCGAAGAACTAATGGGCCAACACGAATGGATCAACCGCCCCGTCGGAGACCCGTTAAAGCTCGACTTCGTAACCACCACCCGGGCACTAAACTTCACTTCCCGGAACCTGGGAGTTGAAAAGATGCGTGTTCAAGGACAATTACTGTGTCTCTCTAATCTACTGGAAGAAGTTGAGCTCTTACATAAGTCTTATCCCTGTTCCGAAGACACGTATACGTGGATGAAGGAAACGATAGCGAATCACAGGAACACGGCGAAGTATTTGTTGGTGAGGACCGACTACGAGGAGAAGAGAGTTCAGACGCAACTTGCTGTCGTGTATCAATTCATGCAACAAAAGGATTCGAAGGTCAATATTCAGCTGGCGGAAACTTCGGCTACGATAGCAAGGGAAAGTAAGAAGGATAGTAGTGCCATGAAGGCGATTGCTGTTTTGACGATGTGTTTCTTGCCGGGAACGTTTTTGGCTGTGAGTTGCTTCTCATTGTCTTATGTATGTTTGGTCGTTGGCTGGGAAAATGAGGTGAGAGGAAGACGCTGATGACTTTTCGTGTAGACTATATTCGCGATGCCGCTTTTCAATTGGGATAGCAATGATGGGCCGGGGATTAAGGGTGGATTTAGGTTGTATTGGGCTATTGCAATTCCACTTACGGTCGGCGTGCTTTTAATATGGATTATTAGCATGACTTTGCCGTGGAATAAGTGGATTGATGGATTGCTGAGAAGGAAACGGCTGAGGAGCCAGAGTAATGAGTCTGGGGAAATGACGGGGTTGAAGAATGATTAGGTAGAGGTATGGCATGATTTTAAACGGGAGTTCAAACCTGGCTACGGTATCACTTGCTAATGAACTTCAGAGGTGTTTGATAAAATCATGTATTGAAAGCTTTGCAAATATCCAGTGAGAGTGACAGCTCAACATAAACCTCGTTCCTACCCAAGACCAAAGCACGCCCCGTCAGAAGCTCCATATAAAGATCCTTCAAAGCCAGCACCGCCACCAAATCAAATGATCCTGAGTATCAAGCCCTACTGCCAACATCGCCACAGATATGACTTCGCAGGCCAACAGCCCCACCAGCATTAACATCCATCGCTGTTATCCCATCTCACAATAACGTTATAATTATCCGTATCAAACTCCTGCCCACACACCGACCAATCCCACGTATTGCCGCCCGGTCTATGGTAATTGCAGCTATTGATGATATCCTGAGCATAGCTCGCGATATAAGGACAAGTTGGCGTGATTCCATAATCATTCTTCATCATCACAGTCAGTATCCGTATTTTCTCCACGACGAAGGTGTGTTTACATCGTTGCATAGATAGATGGCAGCGCGATACGAGCAGCTGACTCGAACACAGCTGTTGGCTCCAACGCCGCAGAGGGCTTGGACTTGGTTTAGGTAGCGGATGCCGGTGTTGATTGGTGCTGTTTCGGCACGACCCCAGTCTTGGACTGGATAGCAGAGGGGTGGTTGCATCTGTTCGGAATCAACGAGTCAGCAAAAAGACAAAGTGTTGAATGTAGGTATCAAGAGGTGCTTAAACTTACCTTGCTGCGTTTTCCCAGATGCCGAATATCTAAGGTTTGGTTCGAGATAGCCGTATCAGGGTCGAAGTCTGGGTAGATGGCCTTCATCTGAGCGTGAATCTCCTGCTTAAAGTCAGACTTTGGTGAATGAGGCTACATGTCTTGGTATCTGGACCTGAATAGAACCGTTGAGTTGGACTTTATAATCGCCAATGCTGCCTTCGAAGGTCATCTTGCTGATAGTCATGTCGCCCATGCTACGTGGAGGAATGCTGCCGTTTGGAAGATAGGCAGCCAGAGTCTGAAGGAAACAGGATTAGCTGTCGGTCTGGAAGAAGTGTTTGTGAATGTGGTTACCATGTTAGAGAGGAAGCCGAAGAGGCTAAGGATGCTGATGAGGACGTTCATGGTTACGAATATTGCGGAATAGTGGCTCGTTCACAAAGGTATTAAAGTTTGATTAGTTATTGGGTGATTATGGCATTGAATTGGATCCAGGCAAGTTCGCAGGAAGAGGTAAATTGTGGGAGAGGCTGGTCGGGTTGCCAAATAGAAAGTTGAGCGGGCAGTAATCGAGGACCAGCATGAGCTGACTTTCGAGTTGTCTTTAATATATCAGGTTTGAACATCAAAGGAGTCATGGCTTATTTTCAGGAAAGAGAGGAGGAGTCATCAACGAATATCGAGGCTTTGAATTAAATTCAACAATAGCTCACCCGACATGACATGCCTGCCGCACCAGGAAAGAATGAATTTGAATAGACAAGGGTAATATCAAGAGCCAGTATCAGGAATCTTCATGGCATTCAATTCAACCACGTCACGATTTGAACAATTCCGAAGCCAGATTATGAGTGTATGCTTTGGCATTGAATGATCTCGATGCTTATATGCTACCCCAAGTCTCCCACCATACCACCAGACCAAGAAGCCATTCAAAATCAGAATCCAAGAGAGGACCAATACCAAAGAAACCATAACCCAAGATGAATCAACGCACCACGCAAATGCCAGCCAAAAGAAACATCCCGATGCTCACAGCAAGGAGAAGGCCAGCGTAACCAAGACCCAACTAGCAAGAGTCCTCACGGACGATGATGTTGTAGCCATCGGTATCGAACTCCTGTCCACAGACATAAGCGTTTCCTTGATCGTCATAGAAAACGCAGTCGTTGATGATGTCGGTAGCATAGGAGGCCATGTAAGCACAGTTGGGGGTGATGCCATAGGCGTTGTCGTTGCAGAGGTAGATAGCGGCGTTGTACGAGCAGGAGATACGAACGCCTGAAGCGCCAAAACGTTAGCTGGTATTCGATGAATTTTCTGGAAGCTTTTTTTGGAGCGACTCACAGGTGGTACCAGGGACACCGCAGAGACCATCGAAGTTGTCGAGGTAGTTGATACCGTCTTGAATGGTGGCGGCATTGCAGAAGGACCAATCTTGACCAGCAACGGGCCAGCAGAGGACCGGTGGAGACTGTGCAACGAGTCAGTATGTCTGTCAATGAGACATATTGAAGAGTCATTTACCTTGTTGCGAGCGAACAAGTTGACAGCAGCATCACGGCTAGCAAACTTGGCGGCGACGAGGGCATCGGGGTTGAAGCCAGGGAACTTGGCAGTCATCTGGGTGTTGATCTCCTATTCATTGTTAGATGATCAGGAAATCCAACGGGTTTGATATTCATTACCTGGGCAGAGCCATTGAGTTGGACTTGATGACCATCAATGGTACCCTTGAAGGTCATGATACCAGTTGGATAGTTCTTGTAGCCACAGCTGGGGAGCTCGGCAGTGCCTGGGATGGCAGAAGCAATGGCCTGTGAATTATATTAGCTCTGCGCCTGCGCGAGAGGGGAAAGTGGTTTGCGCGTACAAGGGAGGCAAGACCAGCAAGGGTCAAGAGGGAAGTGGTGAACTTCATGTTTGCGATTGGGTTTTGATTGAGGTAATTGAGAAGGGTTGTTGTTGGGTGCTCGAAGTATGATCAAAGGTCAAGAAAGTCGAAGTATTGTAAAAGGTGGAGGTCGAAGTTGTGTTTATGGTGGAGAAAGAAAGTGGTCTGAGTTGAGAAGTGGGCTATTTTATAGACCTCTCAAGCTAACAATGGCACTAGTCCGCTCTCAAAGGTTTGTCAAGTTTGTTCACCTGTATCATGTGCTTGGTTGCTCCTTTAACGAGGCCTTGTAGGAGGAAGGCTACGGAGGGGTCACGCTAACACCTTCTTCTCTTCCTGTTCACTCCTATACTTGATACTTGTTCACTACTAACAAGAGACTGATCTATTTATATTCAAGAAAAGAGCCCAATTAGCCATATATCAGGTTCAAGAGGTAATCTGAATGAGTTCAAAGCTCTCGTACACCCAAGTGCTATTGTCAAGTTCGATCAGTATCTCTCACAACTACCCGACCCCGCTCTTTTGCGTAGCTCTTCTTTTTCAACATCATCAATCTGCTACTCAGTAACACACATTCGCCTTTTGATTTTCTTCAAGGAATTCCTCTAATTGTTTATTGTGTAAGTGATTGAACCTTTCCAAGATTCCAAAAACAACTTCTCAAGAGCGACCACTACATCACCAGTTATGCACTCGAAACAGTTTAGTAAGACTCAAAAGGCTTCGAACTCAAGATCAAAACACTAATTGCAAAGCACAGGGAAGCGCCTCTCGTTCAAAGCTAACCAAAACAAAGCTCAACACCGCTTACCTTCGATGTTCTCCTCTTCTCGAACTCAAATCATATCCATCCCTGGCCTCTCTTTGTCCAAGAATTCTTGATCCTAAAGCATTTATTGCCAATATCCAAGTCGTCATTTTCATAGCTTCGAGGCTGTCGCAAAATGCGCAAAATGCGCTATATGCGGGATCTGCGCAATGTGCGCGATCTGCGCGGTTCGCGGGATATGCGCCATAGCGAGTCGTGCTCTCTTCCTCCAAATCGAACCATACCCATCATCGCCACATCTCCTACACGAGTAAATACAATGGAAAGAAGGTCAAGCAGTTCAGCTGCGTGTATCATTGGAGGAACACACAAAGGCTCGGTCTTGGCAGCTTTCAGTAGCATAACTCCGAGTTGGAGCAGCACCGATGCCGGCTATGCTCTTTACATTCGTCCTTCGATTGAATATGCAGATACTGGGTGGAGGACAGCATATCTGACAGGTATTGGACTCTGTTTCAAGACACAAGTCTTGGAGGGTTAAGAGAATTACAAGTCGTAGTGGACAGTCCTCATTGTTGAAATGAAATTCACAATCATTCTGGCTTAAATAACAACGGCCCAAGTTTCAGCATATCTGGTGCTACTCTGTAGTATTCTCCAGTTCTTCGAAGGGCATTATGCTTTGTAGATATTTCGGGTAGCCGAAGGATAATATTTCTAGATTTGGGATATAGCACATTTCACTGACATGAAGGGCCTCTTCAGCACCATAAGTACTAAACATGATTCAGACATTCCTATCCTCCAAACGATTCGTGCAAACTCTTCTTCGGATGAAACTTTGCTCAAGATAAGCATGATGAAGCTTAGGAGCATTCTGACCTCCTTTTTAGACACCATAGTGACTGACAAGGCGGGTAAGACACTTGCTCCAGAAGTCTGGGATATTCTGTCTGCAACTTAATGTACCCTACAGCTACATGTGCTGAAATTACAAAAGGAAACTCTTCTTGGTGAGGCCAGAGTCTCCATAACCGTTTCTCCGTCAGATTCTCGCTTCTTCTCTTCATTCGCACGAGTTCATTATGATGAAACTTAAACGCCTGTCTATATCTTCACTCCCGTCGAGCTTTAACCGCCGTGCTTTGGCAAGCTGCAAGGGTTAGTCTTCCGACAGGCACCCGGATAGAGCTGAGAGTTCTTAGTGAAGCTATCACGGAGAGGCAAATCTGGGATCGATCTGGCTAGTCACTTGCAAAACAATAGAAGACATGAAGTCCCCCCTCTAAGTCCCATCGACACCAGAGATATTCTAGGCATAACAGTTATGCAATCATCAAACAATGTGGTGTAATGTAGAGTAGATTTTCACTTTACAAAGGACTGACAATCTGGTCGACAGGGTCTTTTTTGGGGGTATGAACAATGAATCCGATTCAATTAGTATTGTTACTGTAGTGAAAAGTAGCTATTCTTGTTTCTATGAGTACTTAGAAACTGACAGACATTCTGCTCTACCTACCTAGGTAGGTAGGTAACTTCTCAAATAAAGTTTCACGTGACTTCTAACTTGCCTTGAGTCCCGAGGTCTTGGGTGACGAGAAGACTCAGCATTATGATCTAGTATTCAAGATTCATTGCTAAGAATATCATACTGTTGAGGTTGAACTTCATTGAATATAACAAGAGCACAAGATTTGTTCACTCATTGACTCAAACTGTTGAAGTGAATGATGACTTATCTTCAGGTAAAGGAGCGTCCAAGTCCTGATATTGGGGTATAAATACCACTCTTCTCTCTGACTCTGACCACAATTAGAGCATGGTAAATATCAAGAGAGTCGGAGGCAACGTATCGGGACCAGAAGCCCGGCTCTCCTAGCTAGTCGACGAGTGTTCTTGCTACAAGTTCCAATCCTGCCTTTTGGTACGAGCCTATGTTTATGCCTTATTGTATCAACTAATGTTCTATTGTCACATCCCGAAAGACAACACTTAGAAAGTTGACAACCGCCGATGAGTTGACAACAGACCTTCGACAATTAAACATTTTCGCAACCAAGACCACCCGCAACGACACCACACGGGCTGCAATAGCACCAAACCAAGCGTAGAGCCTGGAGCGAGACGAAACAGGCTCACAAATCTATTGTGGCATACTTGGAGGATAGTCGGGATTTTGTAGGTAATGATGCAGAAGAGAAGAGAAGACAGTGTTTATATAGGCCGAGATTTGAAGTGCTTGAGTGTGTGCGTGGGATGGGGAAAGTCACAATTTCTGCCGCTTTGTCCGTTTCGATGGAGAGAATGCCAAACATGAATGTAGGTTATATGCCAGCAAGTGCAGCAGCAGATGTGGAAGCATGCTCGGTAGAACCGTTGTAGTTGTATTCGTGTTGATACAAGGAGTAGTAGTTTTGAAAAGCTGTAATAACACCATCATGTTGATCCTTACCATTATTTCGAGAGATACGCTTGTTAGCTCGTCTCGTTTCATTATTAACTCATTTAAAGTCTCTTTTGCGCTTTGAGTTAGCAACGCCGTCGTTTCCACGCATAGCATTTGCAACCGTCTATGTTAACTATTATCGTAGGTATGAATAGCTCGTATTCCTTCTTTTCAAAGAAAGAGTAAAAATTAATGGTATATGCAGCCTTGTCTACAAGGATGCTTAAAAGACTACACAACCCGACCTCTTCGCCCCTACCAGAGACCTTGTTCGCCATGCAGCCTATGAGGTCAACTTCCACGTCTGTAAGACTCCTCTAACTCCATCCAGTGGCCTCGATATCGTGCCGAAGCTGGTTTCAATCTAGCTGTCACCCTTGTCGAGGAGACTGAGCCCTCGACGATGCTATTTCGGATGCCATCTACCTAGTCTGTTAGACGCTACTTTTTATACTTCAGATCTCGGCATTGCGGACGAAATTTGAGGACAATTTTGATTGGGCTGTTAAAACGGTTCTTTTGGGCAGCAGTCCACAGTCTGCTCTCGTCCCCGCATCAGGAGAAAAAGCTTCCCCGCCATCAAAGGCCAGTATCATGCAGCGGTGGGGAGACTTCTGCAAACCACCGAATAAAGGACAGGAGGATATAACAAACGATGGCTCATCCCGTCGTTATTCCCGTTGCCCACGTGTCAAAGCTCTTCATTATCCGAAGTACTTGTTCCTGGCTAGCCTGGATCTCTTTTATCTAGAGTGCAGAATACTATATAAAAACCTGTTAATAATGTAGGTTTCGTCCAACATCAGGGAGACACGTCAAGGAAGCTGGATATCAGATTCTTGTTGGGAGTAGGTTTGTGCCTGGTTTGGAGTGAGGAGATAATTTCATGAGACAATTGATAGAGCACTCATACGAAAACCTCATACTGTTTGAGTCTGTCTCAACTATCGCATGTGAAGAGCAGACCTATGACTCTTGCCAATTAGATTCTCATTGTCATATCCATCAATGCCCGAGGATGACAACAGCTATTGTGCTTCGGCTGAAGCAATTCTTTGATAAGTAGCGAGACTATGATCCGAACCAAATATCTGAGGATCGAGCCAGGCAGATATGCTTCTGTATAGGAGTTCCATTGCATGATGGGTTTTGTTCGTTTAATGGACGAGAGATGAGGGTTCATATAGGGAAATTAGGAGAGGATGAGTCGTTCTCGCTCAAGAGGTGGAGTGTGTTTGTTGTGAATTTAGTTGTTCTGTCAAAGACGGAGCTGCACTTGGTTTTCATGACTTCGTGCTTATGACATCGCCCCTACGGCCTCATCTTGTCTCTGTGACATACTCCTTATGAAATAGCTTCTATGATATCGTCATTTCTCCATAAGTCGTTTCTGAGACATCGCCTCTATGGAATCCTCCCTATGACCTCGTCCCTTCTCTGTGACTCGTCTCTGCAATATCCTCTCTATGACGTCGTCTGTGTGATGTCGCCCTGTTTCCATGACATTGTCTCTATGAACATTGAGGCGATGTCATAGGGACGGTGTCACAGAGACGAGACGAGGCATAAGTCATGCCTATAAATACCTCTTATCCTCTGAGAAACTCTTCATTCAAAACGGACTAAAAAGATATCTCGGTCCATGGGTGATGGTAACGAAGACATCTTAGTACGGCCATTGAGGAAATAATGTGAAAGTAAGCAAGAGATAAGAAAAGTAGAATACAAATCAATGCGCACTGATGAACGTACAGCAATACACGGCAATCAAATTGTGACGATAATCAGACAATAACAGTTGATGATCAGTGGCAGATGATTCAGAGCAATGTAGGGGACAGCATTGGGAGGCTTAGCAATCCTGGAGA